TGGGTCTTTGCAGCCTTTCTTGAATTGCGATGAATATATGTTTCAACCTAGCAGACAAGAACCATCCCTTTTTTTAATGGTAATAATAATGTGGTTTACCAATTATATTTTATGTATTCTATTAGATTAATTTATAAGTTCAATTTAGTTGAAAGTATGATTTAATTGAACTAGGGAATTAAGGATAACTCAATTGAAAAATGACTACATTTGAATTGAATTAAATCTATTAAATTTAGGGTATGTTCGGTAATACTAGCTCTCAGTTGTTGTATTAACGTGTTAGCGGATAGCTGATTATATAACGATTTAGATTAGAAATGTTCGGTAAAAATAGCTGCTTAATTTAGTTGAATTTCAGTAAAACAAAAAAATGGTATGATTGTCCAAAAAAAAAAATTATTGAAAATTCTCTATTTTTTTTTATTTAAATTACTCACACATTATTAATGCTTTTTTTTAAGATACATTATTGATGCATTTTGAAATTTAAAATTTGAAGTATAAATTCTTTTTTTATTATTATTTTGATATTAAATTAAAGACTTTTGACTCTTTCAATATCACTTAAAATTATCAATATCTAACAAAAAAATAGTAAATTTAATATACACGATAAATTTGATATACTGAAAATTATAAATAAACTAACCAAAAAAATATGTAAATTTAATATACACGATAAAATGAGTATACTGAAAATTATAAATAAATATATGATTATATATATTTGATTATCACTTAAAATTATCAATATCTAACAAAAAAATAGTAAATTTAATATACACGATAAATTTGATATACTGAAAATTATAAATAAATTATATTTATATATATTTTGATTTGTTTATGATATTATACAATATTTATATCTGTGTATGTTATTATGGTATGATCATTTAGAGTAATTTTTAATATTATTAATGAAAAGAAAAGCAAAACAATTTTGATTTAGGTAAAGAAAATAATTCTAGAAAACAAATAATAAAAAATAAAAAACTGTTTATTGTTTCTAAAAAATAAAAAACTATAACAAATATGGCCTAAATGTTTTATAAAAACTTCCGTAAAATCGCTAAAAATTATTGTCAAACATGACTTTAGTTAATGATATTTTTTTAATTATAAAATCTAAAGTTCAAAACATGAAATCAAATTTTACATGTGAAATCAGATATCTAAAATTTATAATTTTATCTAAATACCTTTTCGAGTGACTGTAACACCCTAAGCGAATACCACATCGGTTAAGTGCAAGGTGCAAGTAATATACATAAGTATGGACAGATTTTAGATTGTCAAGAGGCCTTTTCGGTGGTTTGACCATGGTGTAAGGAGGGTATAGATCTACCGTGTGTCTGGCACCCGAGAACAAAATTATACGGGCATGTGACCCAAAACGGACAATATCTTAGTCAATCTGGACCGTTACAGTGATCATGAAGAAAAAAATGATGGTTTCACTTACCAAATGACCCATCCCAACCCTCAAAATAACTACCCTTTAACAACCATGACCCAACTTTCAAACAACCCCTTTTACTTTCTTCTTAAAATCAACCTCGAGTCATAGAGCGTATCTAACGTGCATGACTTGCTCCAAAAAATTAAAAGTTTCCTCAGAAATGTCGTCTTCTTTTCTCAATCTTTTTGCCATTTTCTATAATCTACATCTCTTTCTAATTCCATTAATTATTATCTCCACACAACTAATCCAAGACAACTTTTCACCAACTATAGGGACTGCTTTTTTTTTCAATCAGCAAGAACAATATTGATTATGAAACTTCCTTTTTAATTAGATAGAGTAGTTGTTTTAGTTGTTGTTGTTGAGACCCACAAGTGAATTTAAGTAGCTTCCAACTGATCAATGAACACATATAAACCCATTACAACTATATATATCACTAGTATCTTAATTATTATTATTATTATTTTTTGTCTTAACTACAGATATCTCCAGTGCATTGGACTAAAACTAGATCATGTTCGTATCGGATCGACATATTAAAATGTATAGTGCTCTCAGCGAGTACTTGCTTTATCTATGAGGATCAAACTTTCAATCTCACTTAAAGATGAAGAGTACCTTAATTAAATTTAATTTCATTAATTGATATGTTTGATAAAGATGATAAATTTTCATTTGATTTGGGTTGTAGACATCCAAGGGAAGATTTGGGTCCTATCAATCAATAATGGAACCCACTTGAATGATACTTTTGGCCAAATATGATATTATGGTATTAGACATCTTTTACAAGGAAGCTTAGTTAACTTTTCATTGCTTCTTGGGCTTTGGCTTATGGAAACCTCGATTAATGATTGAAGATGGTTTTCTTTTTTAATTTGCACATCTATTTTTCTTTTAATTCATTAAAAACTTGATGAGTGGAAATAACATTATGAGTTACACAAAAAAGATAATTATCCATTTAATTCATCGAATTGGTAAAAATAACTGTAGTTGAGAGAAACATAAAGTGAAAAGACTAATCGAATCACTGTCTGTTTGGCGTTTGCATATGTGTTTTTACGTGTAGATTATGATGATATTTTTTCTTATTCAAAGATATTAGCATTTGAGATTTTTTGGTATGGTGACATTATTACATTTGCTAGTCACTATAAAGCTAAACAAACTTCTTATTTAAAACACAATAACAAGATGAAATGAAAAGGTTCCTTTGCAATCAAGTCATCGCGGTTCATACCTTCTTCCCCAAATCTTGAGGAACAAACAATTAATCTATTCTTTCCTAGAAAAGAAAATTAACAAGTCTTACCATAATTAATTTAAGTGGACAATAGAACCGTTGAACCACTCAACAAATGTGGCAACCAAACCAAATTATTTTTTGAATTACAACAAAAATAATCAATAAAAAATTTCCGTTAGCTCAAAATCTCAAACCATCCATTGAATTTCCATATCCTGATTTCATCTTTTGCTTATAAAAAATTTGTTTGAGATTTTTTTATGGTGATTGAAAAAATAAATTAAATTTTGTAAATATAAATAAAATATTTCTTGATTTTGATTAAATTACCTTTTCTCTCGTGTAATTATTTTAATTTTAATAATTATATCTGCATTAATTTGCTTCTAAAATTAAGAAAAAATAAAAGTAATTAAATGGATAATGAAAAATTAATTAAGAAAAAAATAAAAGTAATTAGATGGATAATGAAAAATTATTTTATTTTTTACAAATTGAAAATTTTAATATAAGCATACGAAGAAATGTAAACGAAAGTTAATTAAACCCTGGCACAGTCACGTGGACCGTTTAATTTTTTGGCGCAAAATGTACCAGTATTAACTGCCCTCTAAAATAATAACTTCTCATATGCCTTCGTGCCACTAGAGCTATAATAAAGCTACTAACAGTAATATAGTAGTAAATCTTTTTGGACCACCGTGGTCATTCCCGCATCTTAAATTTCCCTGCACATCATTTAAGGATAAAACAAATCTTTAAGTCCCACTCAGGTGTACCATAGTGACACAAACTGCCAATTACGTGGCATTGTTCTGTTGCACCTCAGTTCATAACCTACAGCCTGTCGGTGCATAATTCTGCTATATATTATTTTCTTTTTTTAATTAAATTATAGTATGAGATTTTTGAGAAATAATTTAAATTATATTATTTGATATTTTGCATATATTTTAAGGCCCAAATATTCTGTTTTTTTTTCCTGTGAATTATTTTAGAATAATTTCTCTTATAATTTAATAATTAACCCTAATAATTCAGAATACATAAAGAATTTAGTATTTTTTTTATCAATTGTTATTGGATGAATAGAGGAGAAATACAATCACCACAATTAAATATATGAAACTTAGTAGTCATTTTAAGAAAAGAAAATTGAAAAATTTTAACATAATTATATTAATTTTTACTATAGAACCAAATTTAGAAATGCAAAAGGATTTGTTTTTAATTTTCTTTATAGGAAATAAATCACTACTATTTTATTGATAGAATTACAAAATGTTTTAATGGAAATTTAAGAATTATAAACCCTCCATAGCCAATGGTGAATTAAGAATTGTTTTATAGTCAATATATAAATTTATTTCTAAAACTTATTATTTAATAATATTTTTATTTGATAAATTGGACTAGAGTTGAATTTTAATTAAGTTCCATAATAATTATAGACACCTTCAAGTTATTATTTTTCAACTAAATAAACTTATGAATATGGTTTTAATTTGACTCCTAAAATTAAAATCGATTTTAATTTTTTTAAAAATAGATCAATTTAAATTCGATTTCAATTGGAATTATTCTAATAGTCATACTCACACAAGGATAATTACTAGTCATGTGTTTTTTTTTTTTTTTTTTTTTTTTCTCACACAAGGAATAATTACTAGTCATGTGTTTTTTTTTTTTTTTTTTTTTTTGAAAATAATACTAATATATGTTGATACATCACTACTATACGACAATGATAAACGCTAATGTGGTAACAATTATATATATGTGTGTATATTGTCTTTTTTTAAAATACAATTTATATATGTTATACGACGATCGTCATCTTGTATGTTTTTTCTTCTGAATAATATATAATATATATATTTTTTATTTTAGTAGTTATACAGAACATCCAATCTTCTTATTTCTCAAAAAAAAAAAAACAAAAAAAAAAAAAAAAAAAAAAAAAAAATCCAATCACCAAACGCGGGTAAGTTGCAAGAGTTAGTTGGACCAATAGAATGCGTGGATCATCAAAACGAATGGACTCGAGCTTATCTGATAAAAACGCCACACTCTTAATTAGTTTAAGCTTTAAGCATTTGATTTACTGCTTCACACACATGCAATCAACCCATAATTAGACGCTTCCAGCCATGTTTATCCCTTTGCAACTCCGTTTTGACCACTGAAACTGCAGCGTTTTAACCCTCAAATTCAAAGTAAACGACATCGTTTATTCTCTTAATCATCTTCTTAAATTCTTTAAACTATTCTCGTGACCATTTCTCTACTTTAAAAAGGTAAAACTCACAGACTCCACCACCAGCTCACGCCCAACCAAACAACCTCCGGCGATGATGCCACTAATTCCTCCACCAACAGCGCCACCGCCCAACCTCCATTAACTCCACCGCTACATTAAAGAAGAAATAGAAAAGAAAAAAAAAAGGAAAATGGCTCAAAACTTCAAACTAAAGGTGCTAACATTGATTACCAAACTATCAGACCGGGACACATACAATCTCGCCGTCGCCGAGCTAGACTCCATTGCCGGAAATCTTGATAACACGACTCTTTCTACCTTTATCTCTTGCATACTTTCCACGGACTCCACCGACAAGTCTTTAATTCGCAAACAGTGTCTCCATCTTCTCTCAACGCTTTCTCATCTTTACTCTAACTCTCTATCTTCTTTCCTTCCTAGAATTCTCTCCTACGTCGCTCGCAGGATTCGTGATCATGACTCTTCCATTCGCTCGCATTGTGTTGCTACAGTATCTTCGCTCGCTTCCAAAATTACTAAACAGCCATTTTCGACTGCTTTTTTGAAGCCATTGAGTGAATCAGTTTTTACAGAACAGGATTTAAATGCGCAGATTGGATCCGCTTTATGTTTGGCAGCTGCGATCGATGCGACGCCGGATCCAGAGCCCGGGCGACTGGGGAGGATGCTTGTGCCGAAGCTAGAGAGGCTGTTGAAAAGCGAGAGTTACAGGGCGAAAAGTGCAGGACTAGTTGTTGTCGGAAGTGTTATTGGAGTTGGAGGAGTGAAGGGATATGCAGGGATGGGCGGTTTAGTAAAGTCTTTGGTCGGATTTTTGAGCAGTGAGGACTGGGCGGCGAGGAAGGCAGCAGCGGAGGCGCTTGGGAGGTTGGCAGTTGTGGAGAGGGATGCTGTGGCGGAATTCAAGAGTGGATGCTTGAAAATTTTCGAGAATCGAAAATTCGATAAGGTTTGATTTTCATTATATTATGATTTAATTACTTGTGTCAGAAAATATATAAATAAATTCATTTACCTTATCATTTTAAATAAAAATAAAATTTCTTTGAAATTGGAATTGTTGCCTCGTGCAGGTGAAGGCTGCAAGGGAGGTGATGCATCAAATGATAGAATCATGGAAACAGGTTCCAGATGTTTCGGAGGATGTATCACCGCCTCCTCGATCACTGGCTTCTTCAAAAGGTCAGGAGTTACTGTTGCCTTTTTGGTTTAGATTTGATGCCTGGTGGATAATGGGATGTTCAGGCGCCAGTCGATTGGTTACATTCAATATACTGTTTTGTTTTTTTTTGTATATCTATAGTATATATTGATGTATTTAAATTGTCAATTTCATTCTAATCCAAAGCCATTTTCTCAATTTCTGCTTTCGGTTTGTTGTTTACTTCTAATATACTTATTATAATTGATGTTAAGTGTCAACTCTCTAGTTGGGTATTATTAGCTTTCTGAATTTTGGTCTTTTTTCTGAAACAGAGGATGCAAGCGATGGCCGTTACCCTACAGGCTCCAGAAATTCTCATGCCGCTGGTTCTGAAGCCTCTGAAATTAGGAGAAGAACTGGTTTAGCTAGCAGGAGTACTCCACCTGATAATTCAGCAGCGACTGTGGGTAGGAGGAGAGGTTCTTTAAGGAGTGCTGAAAAGAAAACAGGTCCAGCATTGTTCCGAAAAGCAGATTGCATGAAGCCCTTGGATTGGAAAGTTGAAATTGCAGTTCCTAGTATTGCTTCTTCGACTGGGATTGCTGATAATGATAATGCGGTGGATCGAAGGCTGACAAAGACAGAAGCAAAACGGGCCGTTTCCAGTAAGAATGCTGATGATAAGGCGGTCAAAATTGGTGGGTTTAAGTCTGGATCTCGTGTGGTTCCTTGTCATGATGAGAGTCCTGTGTCAACTGTTGTAGCCAGTAACATTGCTGAGAATCACCATAGTAACCACAAAGAGTGTGAGGATTTATCTTTAATCCGCAACCAGCTAGTTCAGATTGAAAGGCAGCAATCTAGCTTACTAGATCTCCTGCAGGTTTGTTCTGCTGCTTGTTTTTTGTTCTCTTTCCTTGTCATTGTCTCTGGTAGTTTCAAAGCATCTCCTTAGACTCTAGCTTCCTCTGATATTACTGTGTATGGTAACCTCCAAATTCAATGTTTTTCCTATTGAGAGAACATAGTTAGACCCACTAAAGTCTGGTATCTCGTGCTGAAATAATAAGGTAGTGTATACTTATCTTAAAATTATCATCGAGACAGATTCTCTTGATAAACCGAACTCTTTTGGATTTTCCTCGATGAATTAAAAAATGTTCTGGCCTGTGAGAATTAGATTGCTATCTCCTGCTGTGAATTTTTCAGTATTTTGTGCACAGCCTGGATTACATCCCAGCTCTAATTTGTTAAAACAACTAGTTCTGAATAGACTAATTAGAATATGATATTTATTCATTTTTATTGATCTGATTGAGGATATGCTATTTTTACATGGATGACATCTAATTTTGAATGTTTGCTTGGCACAGCATTAAATGCTTTTTACGAACTTCAATTTCTTAGCCAGTTTGTTAAATATTCTTCAACGAGGAAGTTAGTAATTGCTAATTTGTCGTACTTCATATGTAGTTTATTTTGAACAAGGCTTCTTCTCAAACATTTTGTGCCCTTACCTTCTAATATTTAGAGATTCATTGGGAGTTCTCAAAATGGAATGCGTTCTTTGGAGACACGTGTTTATGGCCTAGAGTTGGCACTTGATGAGATCTCATATGACTTGGCTGTATCAACTGGAAGGATGACTGACTCCCAGAGAACCACATGTTGCATGCTGCCTGGTGCTGATTTTCTGAGCTCCAAGTTCTGGAGGAAAACACAAGGTCGCTACTCAACTTCAAGGTTCTCTTCCAGTGGCACGCCATCATTGGCTGCCTTGCGCCACAGAGCTGATAAGAATGGCAATCAGGAAACAGTTAGCGTAGAGAGTCGCAGGTTACGAATTGAAGGTTGTGGTGGGTTCATAGTCAATCCTTTGGCTGAGATTCACGAGATAAGGGGGATTTCGCAGGAGGCACAACACTAGGCAAGGGATCATCAGGTACTTTTGTGATGAGTTTGTATTTTTGCGTTCCAAGTAACCTTTAATCTTTATATTTTTTTTTATTTTTTTTATTTTTTTGGCTTGTAAGACGCATGTCCTAAAATGAAGTAGTAGGATCCCTAGATTTGTGCTCCCTGTCATATATATATCACTTGGACAATAATTAACTGTGCAAGATGTTTGATTGATTTTTATGATCACCATTGGATAATGAATTTGCCTCTATAATAAAACTACTAAACAAGCACGGAAATTGGAAAATTGAAATCGACGACGATTAAATTTGGTTTTTGCCACTCTACTTTCTAACATGCTTTTTCTTTATTTGCTTACTTGCAGATGAGCCACATAATTTGGATGGTCCAATCTTCATTAGGCGCTAAATTGTTTGCTGTATTGTTAAGAAAACCATGAAATGATGAAGGGAAGGTGAAGATTATTAGCATCCACAACGCATCCAACCAGTTACGCAACTTCTTTATGGCTTTCCTGCTTAAATAATCACATCATTTCTCTTTTTGGAGTATGAAAGTGAACGAAGATAAGCCAATCATTCAGTAATTCTTCATTTTAGTGTAGAATTCTTTTTCCTTTGTTTCTTTTCTATTTTTTTGACTGGGAGAGAAGTTACCACCAATTATCCCCAACCTGGTATAGAGTGTTGAATATGTATAGAGAGTATTATCATGTATCCCCTAGGTTCATTCATCTCTTATCGTTCTTGATTTATTATTGCTTGATCTTTGATGATAATTGATACTGTTGTTCTGGCGAGTTATCCGTTGTAGTCTTAACTTTCAAAATACTAATTTGGGATTTATGTAGATATACATATGATCATTGAAGAACTGGCAATGGATATATGCAATTGAATTGAATGAGAAACTATACCAAACTTCAAATATATTGCATTGTTCACTTTCTACTTTGGGATTTAAGCCTTAAGGCTTATCATACTTGGAAACAAGTTATTGATCCTTCAAGTACTGTTTCTATTCGCCACAAATGAACCTTCATCGTCAATAGACAAAGGGGTTACGAATCCTTTTGTATTAACATGCAAAAACATATTTACTTTCAGAGCAACTATCAAAAGCTTAATATTATCAAACATTTTCCAGGCTTTCCAGACTGAGGAAACGAATAAATTCCTCATCAATATAAATCACATGAGTGCAGAATCAAATGCCAAAGTAATCAAAATTCACTACACATAATTTTGAAGTTATTTTCCCTGAATTCAACTTCCTACCCTGCTAGAGAACATGGAATTTAAAATTTAAGTTTACATGAGGTTTTCCAAAACTTCAAGGATAGGAGAGGAAATAAATAAATAAATAGAAGTCATGGAGATTGCTCACTGGTGCCTTGCTTGTCCATTTTCTGCGCGGAAAATCGAAATCTTAGTTAGATAACTCCCGATCAAGAATGTCTTTGTTGCAATACCATAGCTACTTATTTAGCTAATAAAGCACCATGCCAACATATTAAACTTCAAAAGGACAAAAAATGGATGTGCAGCATAATCAGTTCAGATATTTTGTAAAAGAAATTAATGATTGTGATTTGTGAGATCCATTGCAAAGATATCTGATGCTAACAAATTGAAAATGCCAAATACGACACTAGTAAGCCAGTAATATCAATGCATACAAACTGAAAATTCCCAAACACCACATAAGTGGTAAATTTATAAAGCTCAGCACTCAAAAACCTTAGTTCATGTCCATTAAGAACACTAACATAGATAGCCTCCAAAACAGAAAATTACAAGATACAAAAGAATTCTATCTAACATAGATAGCCTCCAGAAACATTTGAGAAACCAACAAACAAAAGTCCTAATGGGCTAAAAAGGAAGGTTACAGGCAAAGAAAGATTAAAACGGATATAATACATCAAAAAAATTGAAGAAGCAGGGCAAAGCTCTATAATCAGCAAGCTGGAACATAAAAAATGAAAAATACCTAGCAAGGGATTTTTGATATGTGCAAACACTAGGATAAGAAAATAAAAACAAGGAGGGGGACAAGCAAATTTAAGACTTGAAATGAAGAGTGCTAACTAGCATTTTGGGGATCAAAATGCCAAATGGAACATAAGAATCAGAAAGAGAATAGCAACATCATTTGAGTGGCAAGCAGGGAAAACAAAGAATACCTTTTCAACAAAATGCCTATTATTCACTGCTCTCTAACCAAAATGCTTTTTCAATCCTAAGAATAGCAAATACTCCAGTTTCATCAACCTAGGTGCTCCTTATCAAGTGTTGCTACATGTTACATGGTTTTTCGTACAAAGCAAACAGATTATTGGATCTGATGTTAGATCCTCCGAGATTCTGTTTCATTCTTGAGATAAGCTAATTTCTAGTAATAGGATATTACATCAACTCAATTATCAACGACAAAGATTTAGTTTATCTAATCACAATTAATACCTGCATCTGTAATTTATATTATAGCATTTGAAGAAGAACCAATTGAATATTTTGAATTTAATTGACTGTTAAGGCGTAATTGGAAAAAAAAAAAAAGAAATCAAGCGAAAATGATAACGCAAGCCCTAAGAAGTAAGAAAGTACCGATTGAGCGTTGTGCCAAGAGATGCCTCTGTAAACGTTGACAGAGAAAGTGGTGGTGAGATATATGGTGGCGACGCCTAGACTTGCCGTGAACGCCTTGAATGCCCAATCTCCTGCTCTGCTAGCTATTCCCATCCCTCTTGTGTGCTTCTACTCTGCTTAGCTTGGTTTCGGGGGTTTTGACACGATGGAACATAGGTTTTTTTTTTGTTTTTTTCTTCTGGAATCATTTTTGTTTGAATCACAAGCCAAAGCGCCCGTCGTTTATCATAAGTAGCATACCCTTCGCCCCAACGGAAAAATAACTCGGTCTGCCGTTAGCACCGGTTATAATACGGCTTGTCGTGCATGACGAAGGGACTGGTCATGATACAGTCACGGGCCATTTCTTCTGTAGAACGGTGTCGTATTGTTCATCCCTTTCCTCTCCCTAAAATTTCCAACTTGAGAGTCCAACACGGCAAAGCCTTTTTTGATTAGTAAATACTAAAATAGTAAATATTCAAAAATTTTACCTTATTGATATAAATGAAAACATTCTGTTGAAAAAGAAAAAAAAAATGCGAAACTTTAAAAAATACATTTATATTTCATCTCAAAAAGAAAAAAAACATTCATACCGAACAGAGTCCTAATGCACTCTGCATTGCTAAGATTTTCGTAGTATCAGCGAAGAGCAGGCCCCCGGCCAACCTAGCCCTTTAAAATACCCGCAAGGCTTCAATCACTCATACAAGACAATGCATTACAGTTGAAACCTGTTCATAATCAGTAAAAATTTTGAATTTTCATTTATTTAAGTAAAGCTGTGTCAAATAGTTAATATCTTGACACCTTCAATATATAATTAATCCAAGATATAAGATTAAAGAAATTACAAGAACGCTGAAAATTTGGTGGATATAACAATGACCAAATATTATTTAAGGTAACCACTGCTCTTTCTTGAAAAAGCAGCCTCCATTTTCATAGGATTTCTTGAGGAAACGCCGTCTCTCTGGAATTGCATTGCAGACGACAGCATTTCCATTTTCAACATTGAAACCCATGTCCTCATTTCTTGAATGCGACTCTACCACCATTTCTTTTCAGACAACGATATAAGCTGCACAGGAGAGAATTTGAAAGATATTAACAACTATGTACAAATTGGAATGGGAATTCAAACATCAGATCAGATGCTAAGTATGATGCCACTGAATATATAACGGACACTCCTAACACCAACAGCAACAATTGTTGTACATGCCTTGACAAACTCCCCCCTCGATTAGTGCTTCCACAGTGAAGGAAGCTTTACTCCCATAGAACAATTAACTTCTCAAAAATGCATTCACATTAGTTGGTATTATAAACACTGGGAAGTGGAAAACACTACATGAATAGCACAAATGTTGAAGCAGGCTGATGATTGGATTAGCAGACAATTAACAGATCAGAATGCAGATATGTGGTTACTCTAAACTTACAGATCCAGGATGACACGAGTAATTATTGATATGTTTTACATGACACACAAATAATTAGTCCTTCATTTCATCCAAAAAGCATCGTGCTGCTCTAACAGAATCAAGTGGTTATCACTAAATCTAGATTTATAAAAAACTTTTTAAAGCAGCAGACGAGACCATGATAAAAAAAGCAGGCTAGTTTTTAATTATCTCAATTTAAAGAAGACAAGATTAGAAAATCTACATTGTTGAGATCCTGTCAAATATTTGATATCTATCTCCTTAAAAAAGGTTAAACCTTGTGAGATCTTTAAAATCTTTAATTAACCAGGTTGCTTCTACTGGGACATGTTTTGAGTTGGTTGACAGTTGCTAAAAGTGTGCTACGGCTAGGTTCACTAATGTCAGATATCACGCTACAGTTGATTCAATACATAATTCCATAACTGTTCAAACTGAATGTGAGCAAAGGCATAATTGTTCTATTTTAGAACTGGGCTTATAATTTTGTTCCAATTGATTCCTAACATGCAGCATTATCAATTAGATAAAATTTAAGACACTATCAGTCTCAGATATAATGTTTGTACAAAATTAAGAGACAGATATAAGGCTCCTTTGCAAGCAAACAAGTAAGCAGAGTTGAGCAAATGAAGAATACATACAAGCTAACTCAAATATTAACCAACCTGACGAGCAACTTGTGCCATCTTCCGAGTATCTCTAGATGATTCAGCTATTAAGCCTGACTTCTGTGACTCCCCGTAACCAATTTGTTTTCCCACTGTCTTTCTCTTCAAAGTGCCATTGTCGATAGAGGAATCGCCATCTGGGCTGCTGGGAGACTCCTTCTTCCTTTTTCTTTGGAATGTGTAGAGAAACTTATTCATTGGTTGACTAGCAAGTGATTCAATCACATCAGGCTCCTTTGGATTTGAGTTTGACAGCAACACACTGGCTATCTTGAAATCTGTTTTGCTAGCTGGAAACTCTGAACTCTCTGCAGATCCAGCATCCTGTCCAGTCAACTCCAGTACGTCTATTGACAACTTATCGTCTGTTCTATTCTGGAACAAACAGGTCCTGTCAAATTCTGCGTCACTTTTTGTAACTTGTGTGATAGTTTCATTTTTATTTGACAGTGAAAGTTTAGGATCCTTCTGAGGTATATCATCAATTGTCCTAGAATCTTCCCCAGTTAGAAGATCATTATCTACAGCCGGAAGAGGAAAACTCTTGTACACCGTATGTCTCCTATATCTAGCAGCTCTTTTTCTTCTTAGTCTTCTAGGAATATCCTTGACTATACCTAGACTTTTCTCAGTATCGCAACCATTATCAACCTTGGAAGTAAGGTTACTACATATATGCTTATCTTCTTCTCTCATAGATAGCTGATCCATTATGCCATCAGCTTGCCCAGAAAGAGACAGATTTCTGTTTCTTTTTCTTTTTCTTTTTCTACACTTATTACCTGCTTCAACATCTTTAACTATATCTGTACTTACTTCAATATCACAAACATTATCAACCTTGGCAGTGAGTTCTTTATATATATCCTTGTCTTCTTCTTTTTCTTCCTCTTCATCTTCTTCTTCTTCTTCTTCTTCTTCTTCTCCTTCTTCTCTGATAACTATCTGATTCTTTTCTTCAGCTTGCCGAGAAAGAGACAAATTCCCACCTAACAGGTTCCGTTCAAAAGCACGAATTCTCTGAGTGCATCCATTTCTATACAGCTCAGGCTCTTTGCTTCTCATCACTATGGAGGCAAAATCAGGACTGCAAACAAAACAATTGTCTTTATGACAATCATGTCCACTATAGCATTTGCTGCCATCGAAAGTCCCGTTGAAAGTTGAATTCTTCATCTCATGAGTTATTACTGGATCACATTGTAAGGCTGGCAGAGAAGATATTACAGACCAAGAAGTACTTAGTCTATTCTCCTCAAATGTAGCTATCAAAGTAGCATTTTCAGCCCCCGAATTTTGTTCACTCAGTGGCTGCATCTGCCTGTTTGTCACCTTCTCCAATTCATCCTGTAGTTCTCTCAACTCTGCTCTAAGGTCTTTTACAATATCCTCAGCTTCCCCAAGCTGTGCTTCTAGCTCTTCGATCCTTCTCTGTTGAGTCAGGGATACCATTTCTGCTTCACTAACCTACAAATATAAAACGTCAATCAATGAAGGATTTGTTTAAACTAAAAACGGAAAAAAAAAAAAAAGTGGATCAAGGTAGAGTGCGAATGACAGGTTGACAGAATCAAAGAGAAGACCAACTTCGGTTACCTCACTAAGTTTGTTAGATCTAAACAACTCAGAAGATTTAATCCCTACACTTGTTGCCTGCTAAATTAAAACCGAAAGATGATGGTTGTAACTGAGCCAACAAATTCACTTGCAACTCATCTGCAGGGAGAAAACTTTCTGAGCGTTTAAATTGCTTAACTTGTGGATATTAGCTGTTTCCGATGGTCAAATTCAGAATGAAAAATCTCAATCTGGTATCAGTGATCACCAAAAAGATGCCAAAACAATAAAAAAAAAAGGCTTCTTTTAGAGTTGCATGAACCCATGAGCACCCAATTACAATGAATGAAATTAACCTTCAATGGTAATGGAATTCTGTATGTCAAGTTTAGAGCCTAGGATCAACCTGACCCTGCCCACCCCTTTAACATTTGAGCACTCAGAATAACTCATGATCAACCTCGCAAGTTGTATTATTATAAATGATAACCGGCGCATTGATGATACACAATTATATTAAATAAAATATCTCACAAACAGAATTAGGATGGTTTGCAATAACTTTACATATATCCCTGCATTGTACTAGATGGAAACTGAAGAAATCAAGTTATATATTGATACAAGCATCAAGTTCAATATTTTTGTAATCACGTCAGAACAAACACTGCATGCTTTTGAGATTCTAAAACATGTAAATCAATACACACCCAATCAACCGTAGATAACCAATGTCTAGTGTATAACTAGCATGTTCTATGATGCAAGAAATATAATAATAAGGCACAATCAAATTTCCCTATATTAAAAGCGACAAGTATCTTTGCAATGGTTATTAATGCAAAATCATTGAAATTTAAGGAATATTCACAAATAACTCAAACAAACACATCCCTACCCCTAGAAATGATGAATTATCAGAGTTCCAAAAAAAAAAAAAAATGTGGAACTCATTGACACTAACTTCCAATGCAACCCTACTTATTATTTATACTACTTTGTCCGATTCAACAACACATGTTTAAAGAAAATTCTTTAATTCCAAATACATGATGGATGAAAGGGACGAGGACACCAAACAGCATTCACTAACATCAAAGAAACCAAATCAAATCAGAGATGGAGAGCCTCCATATTGAGAAATTAAACTAACAGAAGAAAGAATCTCTCATTACAATGTGTGATCAAACACAGCAGAAGTTCAACCATTCCACACATAAATAGTCGCTAATAAAAAGCCACATAACCAAAGAGCAATTCACACACGAACCAGGAGTACGCTCTCAAACCAAAAAACAAAATTAAAGGCAATTACTTTTCTTGAAGGGAAAAAACGCTAAAGTGAAGAACAGTTAAACCTTAGAATCCAACATCTGTTTTAGCCTAAGAAGCATACGCAACGCCTCGTCTTTGGCAGCGAACAGCTCCCGCTGATACCGTTGCGCTTTCCTCTCGGACACCATTATCCTCGCCGCCGCCTCTTTTGCCGTATTCAGTATTATATCGGCGTAGGCCTTCTTCAAGGCCGTCAATTTCTGCTCAAACCAAAAACGAAAAAAACGAGCACTAAAAATCAAGTTAAAGCAAAAAAAAAAAAAAAAAAAAAAAAAAAAAAAAAAAAAGAAAAAGCAAACTCGAAAATTGCCAATCAACCTCCATCTCCAACATGAAACCATCAAAAATCTCACTCCTTCTTTCCTTCCTCTAACCCAAAAGAGAGTAGACGCAGGTGGAGAACTGGAAGATGATGACGGTTACAGTGGAAGGAGATTGATAGAAGGGTAATGAGGTAATTTTAAAAAAAAAAAAAAAAAAAAAAAAAAAAAAAAAGAAAAAGCAAACTCGAAAATTGCCATCAACCTCCATTCAACATGAAACCATCAAAATCTCACTCTTCTCCTTCTCTAAACCCAAAAGAGAGTAGACGCAGGTGGAGAACTGGAGATGATGACGGTTACAGTGGAAAGGAGATTGATAGAAGGGTAATGAGGTAATTTTACCTCGGAATCGGCCATTGGAGGCCGAAAATGAATAGAAAGTGTTAGTTAGTTGCTGGTTAAGACCAAAGTTGTTAAAGAAGAAACCGGGAGGTTGTTTTCTTTTTCTTTTCTTTTTTTTTTTTTTTCTGTTTTTTGGAAGATGTTTTGCCCTTTCTTTGCAATCAGCTGTCTGTTATGAACCGAAAGCCACAGTATATGTTATGTTATTGCTATAATACCCCAAAGATTTCACGTTATTACAACTCTACCACCATAACTAATAACAAAACCGCTGTGCCGGTGCGTGTTCTTTGGTTCCGTCTTTCGTTTTCATTACGGGGAGCGCGCCAGGAACGCGGGGCCCATGGAGTTTTCACTCGGTGGTGACGTGGATTGTTTTGGCCCGTACGCGTGGGATTTCGACACGTGGCTGCACGCATGTAGTAGTTTGGTGAGGATTTGATGGGAAAGCGTGCATTGGGAAGCGTGGGGTATAACAGTTTTTGCGGTATTGATAGAGAGATCATGGTGAGGTGGAGAGCAGGGAAGTGTAACTCTTTTATGACGGAATTGAAACGGTTGGGGAGGTTTTTGAGAATCTAAATAACAGTGGTTTGGGACTTTGAGTCGTCAACTTCGTTACAGTTATTGAGGAAAGGTTCCCTCAGCAACTTCGCTAAACGACGTAGCGGAGGGGTCCAATCAACTCGTTTTTTAAGTCGTTTTCTGATTTGTTTGTGTTATTTAGCTCGTTAGGCCGTCAATTTTTTCCCCTCACCTACTGGCATAAATCAAAAAATTATATACATTTGAGTTACGTGCTCTGAAATTGAGCGGTGGTCAATTGTGAATTAATCTGTCTTGGATAAATTTATTGTATTTATATTAGATTTTATGATATTTTCTCATACGATAAGAATTAAAAATCCTACATTAATCGGTAATTGAAGTTTATTTAAGAGTTTAATATTATTAATTCGTATTTTATTATTGTATTTATCAGTAGTGTCCCTTTAATTATTTGGTCATTTATGCCTAAATGGAAGTTTTTATTTAATTCTTGTTACTGTCATTTTTTATTTTGAATGTCTTTTCATCTGCTTGTGTTATGATGTGATAGCCTTCTTTTTTTTTTTTGAGAAACAAGGTGTTGGTTTGTTACACTTAGGGGAAACTCATGAATTTCTCAATTAATGAGCGTGACCCTTCAGTGTCTAGGCCCTCTATAAATAAGGCTCATTTCTCCTCATTTACTTCACTCTTCAGTTTCTGAATCCAGAGCATCTCTCTCCAAAACTTTCTCTCTCTAACTCAAGTAAGTTTCTTTATTTCTGTATATATTTTTCTTCTAATTTTCTTTTGAAGTCAAGGGTTCTCCTGGTGGAGAGGATATCCAAGGTTTGTTTGATCGGCCTGATGATGATCATGTGAAGGAGGAAGACTCAGGGGTAGGCGAGGCTAGGGGTGGAAAAGAGAACGTGCGAGTGGCCGACATGCCATCGAGCATTGATGAGGGTGAGCTACTAGACATAAGTTTAGTATATCAGATTCCTTTAGAGTATCAACTAATCAGACCAAAGGAGCAGATGAGGATTACTGAGCCCCTAGATAAGAATTCTATCATGATGTATGAAGAAAGTTTCAGATCTGGGGTTCGGCTCTTTTTGTCCGAGTCCCTCAAATCATTTTTCAATGAATATAATATAACCATCAGCCAGTTACATCCTAATGGTCTGAGGTTTCTATGCGGTATAATTGCCTTAGCTCACCAAGACGAGCATGTTTTAACAGCTCGGGTAGTTTGGGAGCTTTACCACATTGGTGTCCATCCGAACGAGGATCATTGTTTCCTCCAGGCGGAGAAGGACCGCAATATGTTTGCTAATAAGTTAAAGATCTCCTCCTTAGAAAAAATCAGAAATCTAAGTTCTTCATTGTAAAAGCACTTAGGAGGGTTCGTAATACAAAATCAATGGACAGTTGATCCATGTCGCCAACTACCTGGCTCCCCTACCCCTTATACGAAGTATGTGTGGTGATGATAAAGGTTAGGGGGTTAAGATCGGTTGACCTGAAGCAAGTGATAGTTGAGGATCATCCAATATGTTCCCCTAATGATCCTATAAGACCTAAACCTGGTAATTTTTTATCTTAATAGCGCCACATATTGGTTTACTAACTGATCGTCTATAAATTTTTCTTCTTACCTTTGTGCAAGTATGGCTCTTAAGAAAGTGAAGAATTCCGAAATCAAAAAGGTGGCCGAGGCAATGAGGAAACAAGCTGCAACTGAGAGTTTGGTGAAAGAAGTCCTTGCGGCGGTATTGGATCAACAAACGCCCGAGGTTGAAGTTACCTTGGGGGACTCCCACTCCGAGCCTACCCCCTTGAGTCCCCCATCTGAGCCTCTACAAAAAAAGGCGGAGAGAAATGCCCCTCCCTATTCCCCCTTTTGTTCCTCCTAAGGTTGGTGAGACTTTGGATATCCAAGGGTATTTTATGAAGAAGTATGGGGTGAGTTGTAGTCTCCAAGAGAACGGGCCGAGCCGAAAGATGGCTCGTCACTGTCTTTTTCCTGCCGATGTACGATGCTTCGATTATATGGATGACTTAGATAGAAAAGACTTTGTCAACCAAGCTTTCTTCCAGGCTCTAAATGCTAACAACTTGAGCTTCGCTCAGATAACCTAGCTGAGGGGAGATTATTTAGAAATGGAGGTTAAGAGAAATCAACTGGAGATGCACTGAAGAGTGCAAAAGTGACTATGCAGGAGCAGGAGGCTCACGATAAAGCAGATATTGAAACTCGGGAAGCTGAGCTTGATGAGTTAAAAGAGGAGAACTGGGACCTATTAGTTAAGAATAAGGATTTGGAGGGAAAGATGAAGGAGGTAGAGGAGGAGTTACAGGTACTTCAGAATCTGGAAGGGACCATGCAGAGGACTTGGCGAAAGCGTGTTTAAGCCTTAGAACAAAAATTATTGCTGAACTGAAGGCCCAAGATCCAAATAAGAATTGGAGCTGGGTTAATGATATATAACCTAATGATGATGAGGAAGGTGAAGGAGAAGAGGATGGGGTAGGAGAGGTTGAAGTTGATGTTTTGCAAGAAACTACTATTGAAGACATCTTGCCTTCGCAACAAGTGGACACCGAGGTGCAAGCAGATATTCACATCATCTCTTCAGAGGGCGAGGCACTGCTGAAGTCTTGCTTGCAGGGCAAAATATTTAGTTAGGAGTTAGTTTTATTTAGTTTGTAAGGAGGTTTCTTCGTATAAAGACCTTTTGTATTCGTCTATGTAACTTTCTTCCTTTTGGCATTAATGAAGATAACTTATATTCCACATGTCGTATCTCCTTGCTTTACTTGTAATAGTATTGTCTTCTTAATATGTCAATGCTAGAGCAAGCGAACTTAAATATGCCTAATCTGATGGTCTTAGTGAAGAGTGCGTTTAGATTTAGGTTGGAAGAGCCACGTATGTCCGAGCTATGGGACTTTATTTACGAGATCACAAATGCCTAAGCTTGGGCTATATGGGGGCTATTATGCTAATCTTGATTGTAGGGGGCTATCATGCTAATCTTTGCCTTTGACTCAGCCTCTTGGGCTTGTTCAGGCGCTGGAAAACTGGGCGGTTTAAGTGATGGTGGACCTACATTGTGCTCTCTGGGGTGTTGGCTCATTTGTTCACCCCGAGGTGTTAGGTCGTCATTAAGGTGAGGAGTCTCCAAAAGGCACTTCAACACAGTTGTGAATTGTGAATAAGCATAAGCCATAGCGGCCGCCATCTAAGGGTCGGTCGTGGGCGGAGAACCAGTATAGTTTGCACGACTGCTTTGCCATGATTATCACTAACCTGCTTTGGTAGGGTGTTCAATGAGGTTGTTGGCCATGATTGTCAAAGGTGAAAAGCAGAAAAAGATCTAAATTCAAGGGTGTGAAAGTATGTTCCACGTTCACCGCACAAATTGTTACGTGCTCAGAAATTGAATAGTGGTCAATTGTGAATTAACCCGTCCTTAAGGTAAATTTGTAGTATTTATACTAAATTTTAGGATTTTTTTTTTTTAGGATAAGGGTTAAGAATCCTACATTAATTTATAATTGAAGTTTATTTAAGAGTTTAATATTATTAATGCATATTTTATTATTGTAGATTATCAATTTGATTTCTACTCTATTATTTAATGTTTTCAAATTAAAATAGGAGGTATTTAACTTTTGATATAAAATTTAAGTCCGAACATATTATATTTACATTATATTATGAGTTAATAGATATAGTTTGTTATAGAACGATTTCTTTTGATTATAATAAAATCTTCATGATAGTTTAAACAACATTGATTATAACATACTAATAGATAGTTTAGTGATAAGTATATATATGACCTGACAATAGATTCAAGTTCGAATTCCCCTCCCTAATACTCAAAGAAAAAGACACAACATTGGTTATAAGATTTACTTGATTTGATGAAATACTAACTTTGTAATGCACTATTCATTACGGAGCGCCTTTGATAAATCTAGTAACAAATAGGATCCACTTTTAAATTTCAGACAACAAAATTACGGTAGTTAAAAAAATAAAAAATAGTTTCATTTATATATTTTCTTAAGGATTTTATTTAGAAAAGATTATTGATTCATTTAATTTTATAATTGAAATCGTTAATTTAGTTGATGTTTATAAGAATATAATGAATTATTTTTTATTAACTTTCTCACTGATCTTTATCAACTTTGAAGACTAAAAAGTTTCATTTTTGGTAAAGATTTAATTTTGATCTTCATTTCCCTAAAAACGAAATCCAATTCTGTAAAAGGATTTCGTTACCATTTGAGTTTTTTTTTTCTCTTTTGAGAAGGTCACCATTTGAGTTAAATTCCAAATAAAATCTCAGCCAACTCGCATTCTCGTTCGGCTGTAGTTCGAAATTTCGTTTGCCGCCAAAGAGCTTTGCTTGCGTCGCAATATTCGGGTCAAATCCATAATGACTAGTCGTGGTGCAAATATCTAACCCGCCAAGCCGCTCCATTTTGGTCCCTGTTTAATGTTTATCCACAAAAGCTCCACGTGTCTTTCTTCAAGCTAGTTCAAATCGAAGCTCACTTTCTCTCGTTCTCCAGCTCTCTGACTCTCAGAGGCATGTTGTTGGCGTCAATTTGCCGAGAAATTTCAGCTTAAATTTTAGTTTTTCTGAGAAAATTCACTTTCTATACCTTATCGAGCTCCCCTCAATCTGTTATTGACTAACAAAAGCTTATGCTATCCAAATTACGAAAATGACCATATCGCCCTCGCTCTGTATTCCCAATTCTTCACCTATCTCCACGGAACTCCTTAAATCGAAGCCTAAACCTCACCGCTTCCCGTTCCCCAATTTTCCCGTCCATAGACGACTCATCTCAGTCTCTGGTGACCATAGAACCTATTCCGGCGCCGGAAAAGCCCGGGCCAAATCGAAAGAACTTGTCCTCGGCAATCCGTCCGTTGTCGTTGAGAAAGGTAAGTACAGCTATGACGTCGAAACCCTAATCAACAAACTCAGTAGCCTCCCTCCGCGTGGCAGCATCGCGCGTTGTCTTGAAATCTTCAAGAACAAGCTCTCCCTAAACGACTTCAGTCTGGTCTTCAAAGAATTCGCCCAGCGCGGGGACTGGCAAAGGTCGCTTCGGCTTTTCAAGTACATGCAGCGTCAGATTTGGTGTAAGCCAAATGAACACATATACACAATCATGATTAGTCTATTAGGACGAGAAGGCCTTCTTGAAAAATGCGCCGAGATTTTCGAAGAAATGCCTACTCACGGCGTGCCACGTAGCGTCTTCTCCTACACAGCTTTGATAAACTCTTACGGGCGTCATGGCCAGTATGAGGTGTCGCTTGAGCTTCTAGAGAGGATGAGGAAAGAGAAGGTTCCTCCTGGTATACTAACTTATAATACTGTGATAAATTCGTGTGCTAGAGGTGGATTAGATTGGGAGGGTTTATTAAGTTTATTTGCGGAAATGAGGCATGAAGGCATACAGCCTGATATTGTTACTTATAATACTTTGCTTAATGCTTGTGCTGATAGAGGTTTAGGAGATGAGGCTGAGATGGTTTTTAGGACTATGAATGAAGGGGGGATGGTGCCTGATATAACAACTTATCGTAATCTTGTTGAAACATTTGGGAAATTGGAAAAGTTAGAGAAGGTTAGCCAATTACTTAAGGAAATGGAATCTAGCGGTAATTTACCTGAAATTTCCTCCTACAATGTCCTACTAGAAGCCTATGCAAGAAAAGGGAATATTAAGGATGCAATGGGGGTGTTTAGGCAGATGCAAGAGGCGGGGTGTGTGCCAAATGCGGTTACCTATAGTATATTATTGAATTTGTATGGGAGGCACGGGAGATATGATGATGTCAGAGAGCTTTTCTTGGAGATGAAAGTCAGTAATACAGAGCCTGATGTGGCTACATATAATATACTTATAGAGGTGTTTGGTGAGGGTGGATATTTTAAGGAGGTGGTGACATTATTCCATGATATGGTGGAGGAGAATGTGGAGCCAAATATGGGGACTTATGAGGGCTTGATATATGCTTGTGGTAAAGGAGGGCTACATGAGGATGCTAAGAAGATTTTACTTCATATGGATGAGCAGGGGGTAGTGCCAAGTTCAAAGGCCTATACCAGTGTTATTGAAGCTTATGGACAGGCTGCATTGTACGATGAGGCCCTTGTTATGTTTAATACAATGAATGAAATGGGAAGTAAGCCGACTGTTGATACTTACAATTCACTGATTTACATGTTTGCAAGAGGTGGACTTTACAAGGAATCTGAAGCAATTTTGTGGAAAATGGGGGAATCTGGGGTTGCACAAGACAGGAATTCTTTCAATGGTTTGATTGAAGGATATAAACAAGGAGGCCAATTTGAAGAAGCTATCAAGGCATATGTTGAGATGGAAAAAGCAAGATTTGAGCCAGATGAGCGGAGCCTCGAGGCAGTTTTGAGTGTGTACTGTGCTGCTGGTCTTATTGATGAGAGTGAGGAGCAATTCCGGGAAATTAGAGCTTCAGGAATATTGCCCAGCGTTATGTGCTACTGTATGATGCTAGCTGTTTATGCTAAGAGTAACAGGTTTGGGTTACTTCTAACAGTCATTTTATTAGACTTACATTAACTGCACACTACTGATGTCGTAAATCCACTTAGATACGGTAGAATCCGGTTTTGGTGAGATTGAAACCCCACTATGGATGACTTGAAGAAAACGATTAACACTCAATGATTACAATAGTTTTAGGTATCCCTATTTATAGGCTAAGCAAAGAAATAACCTGGAAAACAAAATCCTACTAAAAATAAATGACCTTTCAAATAAATAAACTTCCTAATTAAAAGAATTCATAAACTCTTCCTAATTAATAAAGATTATGTGATATATATTACGGTTTTCCTATGTGGAAAATCACGTCTACTCTTGCAGCCCGAGACACTCCCTTGTCATGAAATATCATCCTCGAACTTAGGCATTAAGTATATAGAAATGAATTGAAAGAAAACTATATGCTATTAGAGTTCACCTTAGTTGTTTTGCTAGAATGTGAAAAAAGGAAGCTGCATAAATTAAGCAACTTACGGAGGTTATTAAATACATACATTAGTGCTATGGATATTCCTGATGATGTCTTAAAACAAGTTATAGTTCACTGTTTGTCACCTAGAACTTTAAGACGGGGTGGAAATACATGAGATGATTTCTGGGACATAAACCATGACCCTGACATCAGTTCTACTGATTTCCAGGTTGCATACCTGTCCAATCAAAGACATCATTCCCCCTATAATTCATCTTTTTAATTATACCAAATTAAGCTCTGGCTATGAGTTCATTTTGTGGCATACCAAATTAAGCACTTAATTGAGCTCTGACTATCAGTTCATTAATTTTGGAAATGCAATGCAAGGGTAGCAATTTATTCTGTTCAACACCTTCAACTCCTTTTTACAGATGGAATGAAGTTTATGAGGTTCTTGATGAGATGGTCACAAATAGGGTATCAAATATTCATCAAGTGATTGGGCAGATGATAAAAGGAGATTACGATGATGACTCCAACTGGCAAATGGTGGAGTATGTCTTTGACAAACTTAAATCTGAAGGATGTGGTCTGGGAATGAGATTTTATAACACACTTTTAGAAGCACTTTGGTGGCTGGGTCAGAAAGAACGGGCAGCAAGAGTGCTCAATGAAGCAACAAAACGAGGGCTTTTCCCAGAACTTTTTCGTGAAAGTAAACTTGTCTGGGCTGTAGATGTCCACAGGTATCATCAAATTTATCTCTCTTTTTTTTTTTTTTTTTTTCCAGAAAGAACGGAGCAAGAGTGCTCAATGAAGCAACAAAACGAGGGCTTTTCCCAGAACTTTTTCGTGAAAGTAAACTTGTCCTGGGCTGTAGAATGTCCACAGGTATCCATCAAATTTATCTTCCTCTTGTTTTTTTTTTTTTTTTCTTCCTAGATTCTGCTCGACTTTTGTTAATGGGTTTTTTTTTTTTTTTTTTCTTCCTAGAATTCTGCTCACTTTTGTTATGGGTGATTTTGTAGAATGTGGGAAGGGGGTGCGTATACAGCGATATCTGTGTGGCTGAATAATATGTGTGAGATGTTCTCGAAGGGGGAGGATCTTCCTCAATTAGCATCAGTTGTTGCAGTGTAAGTTGTTTTCTCATCTGTACATTACATGTTTTATAAGAGAGGCTTGAAGAACTGGGTTAATATACCAATGCTAATTTGAAGATTTTAGCTTCATTCAGGGCATCATATAACATCGAGTTCTTAAACTTCCTCTTTTAAGAACTTGCATATTGATCAAGTATCAAGTTCAGTATGATTCCATATGTCGTATAGCCTTTTACCTACTAGATTAAGCTTTGAGTTAAGTACCTTAAAGGGGTATTAGAGATGGCATAGTGTAATGTGCTTTGTTGTTGTACATTCTCAAGTATGTACTGATTGTCTGGTTCAACTGGGCCTGCATGTCAGGAGGGATGTATTGTTAAGGTTCAATATGATTTGATATTGCATATAGGATTCTCCACTTAACTAGTTTAGGCTTTTATGTTTAACGCTGTAACAACCACCCAAGATTTTCAATATCATTCTTCTCTTGCTCTGATAATATACAACTTAAAATGAAATAATGCTTCTCACTGCTGCATTTTCAATGGTGAGAGTAAAATGTTACTGGGAAAAAACCATTGCCTGTGTTACAGTTCTGTTTTATTTATCTCCTATTTGGAGACTGTTAATTGCATTGTTTAAACTACTGTTCTCTCTTATTCATGTTTTTCTTTTCTTTTTGGGTTTGACCAGACGGGGACGGATGGAGAAAAGCTCGGCTTCACAGGAAGTTCCCATTGTGAAAGCAATTTATTCCTTCCTGCAGGATAATGTTTCATCATCATTTTCTTTCCCTGGGTGGAACAAAGGTCGAATTATGTGCCAGCGGTCACATCTGAAGCGCATTCTATCTGGCACAGAAGCAACTTCAGATGGAAACAAAAACGATAAATTTATTACATTAAGCAACTCCCCTCTTTCTCTTCCTAGAACAAGAACATCAAAAAGCAAATTCAAGAATATTCAACATGAGATTTCCAAATCTGAAACAAGAACAGAGCTAATGGCCAGCCCAGTTTAAGTTGATACACTAAATCAATTATCTACATTCAGGGCATGGAGAATTTCTCTCCCTCGTTTCAGAGGTTATGGGAAGAATTGATCTGCAGTCTCAAAGTTCTTGCTAAATTGGATATTGGCTCACCAAAATGCGAATAAATCAATGGAGATGATATTAGCAAGAGGATTTGTTGCTTACTGCTTTGATTTGAAGACTCTTCACGTCAGAAATCTTCGCTCGAGTGGGAAGAGCTCAGGGTGGAGGATTGTAGTTTTGTAGCTCTAGTTCAGTATTATTGTACGTGTAAATGGATTTTACTTCTACAAATATTATTTAATTATTTTTGAGAAAAAAATGTTGAAAAGAACTGTAGGTGTTGCTAAAAATCTATAGAACCTCACTGGCTGAAAATACGAACAGGTGACATCCCAACTACACAGGAAATTTGATCGAAGCAGCAAGTGGAAGAAGCAGAGTCAAGAGTCAATCATAACTTGAAGTACATTTCTGTCTTTCTAATTAATTGAAATTTGTTGTGTTCACATAAAACAGAACTTCTGTAAACATATCTCTGACTCGCAAAAGGATTGCTGTCCTTTTGGAGCAAATTGTTGGTGTAGATTAGCAGAATTCCTGCTATTTAATATCTAATAGAACTGTTGGAGCAAATTGAAATCAATAGAAGAAAGATTTTTAATTCAATAATCGACAATTCAGGCACTTTCAATCATGCATGCATCAAATCATTATTATCCAGAAAGAAATTGGGATTCATACTTACAATGGAGTGCTTCGATCAATAATAGTTATGGGGCTAATAATGAAGCACCAACAACATTACTCTAATTGGAATAGAAAGGCTATTATGAGAAGATAGAGGAGGTTCCAATATGGAAAGAATCTTTTTTTTTTTTAAATATGACAAGCACTGCAGAGGTTTCTTTACCCACTTTACAGCCTTTAAGTGCAGATGATCCTTTTATTTCGCAAACAAACATGATGAAAAAAGAAGAAGAATAAAAGGTGGAAGGGAAAGGTCCTTACTGCAATCTTGCAAGGTGAAAGTCAGTTGAGGAATCATGTCTATTTCTTTATATATTTTTTCCACTCACCAGAAAGCTATCACCATATTGTTCTTGCTTTTTTGTAATAGTTATGCTAACTTTCTTAAATACAAATAAATATGGTTCGTACCTCATTCATTAAAAATATTATCATTTCAACTTTCCCATAAGTTTTTAGAAATATCTTGAAAGTGACAGTAAAAAAAGAAATTGAAATTTTTATATTCACTACGATTAGAATCTTGATTAGACCTTTCAAAATTTGGTTTCAAATCAAAATCAAATGATATATTCGATTTAACGATATCAGTAGTTCTTCTTATGTTTTTATCAATAAATTTAATTTCTCACCTAACTGCAATAAATCAATGACTTTGTAGGAATTCCCTACCATTTCCCTCTCTTATACCACAAGCGATTAATTTCACGAATAAGTGAAAACACCGTGTTATGCAAACCAAAACCTTTTATAGCTTTATTTGCTATTAAATCAAATTGGTCATTACACATAAATACAATGCTTATTAATTTCCTTTGACACTAAGGAAAACCTTTTGGGACGAAGATTGACATAGAATAGGAAAAAGCAACTTTAGCATATTAACATATGCTCAAATTGCAAAGTTGCCAAGAGAGAAAATAAGAATGATGGACGAGAAAAGCTAAAAACCCAAAAGCAAACTTCATTTCTAAGCCAACAATTCATCACAAAATCATAAATACACAAATAACTTTATACTGAAACATGCTCTTTTATAAGCAAGTTTACAATTTTGGGTTCCAAAGGAAGTGCACTATTTGATAAGATTTATCACCTCTGATTAAAGAAAAAGAGATCCGTATCATTTCATTTCACTCGGGTCTTAAAATATTACATTGCCTAAGGCTAAAGATTAGAAAATGTAAAAAGCACTTGGACATTTTTATTTTTATCTCATCCCACATGTAGTTTCTTGAAGTCAAAATGAGTGAGGAATGGAAATATAGGAAGGTGATGATGCATTGCATGTGGTGGTAGCCCACAAAACCTTATCTTGGCTTATCCTCCCAGACACACCCCACCATGGAAGGTGAGCATACAAAAGAGATCCTCATGTTAATACTAAATTAAAATATCTTCTTCTTTCTCAATGGGTTAAAGAAGAATATGCCATACCTATCATGGTCCACACCTCACCTCCTCATTAATAATTATATTTAATGTTTTAAACATTAGACAAATCAAACCTCACTTGAAAATAAATGATTCCAATTCATTATTAATTAAATTAATCTCATCAATCTGGCTTATTATTAGTTTATTAATATCAAGAGGCTAAATAACCAATTTTTTTTTTTTTAATTTTAGTAAATTTTTTAAATTTTATTAATCAATACTTTTATATAATTGTCCTCCAAATTTAGTTGATGTGACTATTTTACATATAACACGTTAATATTAACTTAAAAAATTCATTAGTAACTCAATTCTTCTATAATTAAATTTGAAAACTTAATTTGGAGTTAATCCACCTCATGTAAAAACTCATTTTGTTTTCCAAGTTAATAATGGATTTTCAATTTAGGGTCTATTTGCAAATCTAGCTGTTTTGATAGTTGTTAGTTGTTTGAGTAACTTTTCATAAAACACTAAAAAGTTAAACATTACATGGATTAAACGCTATTTTAATCTCTAAAAGTTAAAAATTAATTCAAATGCTGATTAGTGTTTATGTGGAACAGAGTCTTAATTCTAAAGTGTTATATGTGGGTTGTTGTTAATCAGTTTTAACGATAATATCAACTGAATTTGAATGACAATCATAGAGACTGATACTCTAATTTCATATACGTAATTATGAAATAAATAAATGATAATAAAAGATAGCTAACTTTACCAAATATTTGACTTTCAAAATTTATGAAACGTAGGGTTGGTATTTTGTGATTGCAAGGAAAACCCTGGCTTAGGCTGTCAAATATTACTTTAGTTGGGTGTGATACAAAATAGTGAATAGTTTAATTGGACATTATGGTGGAAACTTATTTAATTTAGGTAACAAATTGGTATTTTAGTAATAGCAGAATCAAATTGTACAGACAAAAATCAGGTTGACTGGATTCATCTGAAAGAGGATTGGATAAGATATTGTTTCCTTGAAATTCCTCCAGCACTTTCATGTGCACCTGTCCTTTTAATTTTTATTCTATTGAATGATAGCCACGTGAACTTGGGGTTAAGCAAATTTGGAAATTGGATTGCCAATTTATATAAATCTTAATAATAAATATTGAAAAAATATATATAATTTTTGTGAAATTTCTATTAATAAAATTTAAATTCATAATTTCATCATCTTCAAATTTGTTGTTTAAGGATATGTTAGATGCTAATCTAAAAAACAAAATACCCAAATTAAGGCCTTAAATAACAAACAAAATTTCATTTTTCAATTATGATGAATGATAATATAAATTACTGTCACTATAGATATTAATATTTATTTCATATAAGCAATCCATAAACTAAGATATCATTATCAAGATCATAATTCATGATGAAGATGGCGATTCTCGTCATCATGAACCATACAACAGGTGAGAAGCATCCGAACAAAACCAAGCCAATCAAGCTCCAATCGAGGAGATGCATGGATTTGATAAATAGACAGGATAAAAAAGGAGATAAACGAACAGGAAGATGCCACGTATCATCTTCTACCACACAAACAGCAACATCCTCTCTCTATATATATTATAACTTCCAGACACATCACCAAATTTTCATTTTAATTTCGTCTCTTTTATTTACTTATCTTTATTTTTGTTGTTATAATTATTCCTCCTTTCTCTTTACAATTGTACGGCCTCAGATTCCTCCACCGCCCCCATTCATCGCTCAAACCAAGAACGAGAGATCTAAGGAATCGTGGTTGTCTTTCTCTCTCAGCGTCTGATCAGAGATGGCTGGCACGTGCACCACCGGCGGCGGTGGCGGTATAGCAGCAGGAGAGATCATGTTGTTTGGTGTGAGAGTTGTTGTTGATTCGATGAGGAAGAGTGTTAGCTTGAATAATTTGTCGCAGTATGAGCAACCTCAAGAGTTAAGTAAATCTAACGGTACTAACAAAGATGGGAATGGAATTAATAGTGGCAACAAGAAGGAGGATGTAGCTGCTGCGGGTTATGCATCTGCAGACGACGCGGTTCCACACCCTTCTAATAGTCGCGGTGAGCGCAAAAGAGGTTCGATTCTGATCTCTAATTTCTGATTTTCCTTTTCTTTTTTGGTTTTTTTTTTCTTTGTCCTTTTAGATCTAAAAATCGCTGATTTATATGAACTACTTTTTCATGTTTTTTAATTTTCTGTGTTGTTTGATACTGAAATCTGCAATTTCAGAACCGTTTGTTTTGCTAAATTAACTGTCTTCAATGACGATATGGATGTCGTGCAGGAGTTCCATGGACAGAAGAGGAGCACAAGCTGTTCCTTCTAGGATTGCAGAAAGTAGGGAAAGGAGATTGGAGAGGAATCTCTCGCAATTTCGTCAAGACTAGAACTCCAACTCAGGTTGCAAGTCACGCTCAAAAGTACTTTCTTCGTCGAAGTAATCTCAATCGCCGTCGCCGTCGATCTAGTCTCTTCGATATTACTACCGATACGGTATCGATCTCTTCTACTTTTCCATGTTTTTCTTAAAATCCGATCCTGAGATCATCTGTTTTTTTAAGTCCGTTTTTGGTTGTTTAGATTTTAGGAAACTGGTTCAAATCGAGTTGGATAATTGAATTAGTCTTCTTCAGTTCTAGATAATAGCAACTCCAAAAGTTTAATGTTGGAAATTTTGATTTTTACTGTTTGTATCGGATGAAAATTATTTGTTTCTTAGATCATCCTTTTCCTTGGAGGTTGAGATAGATGAGAAGAAGCCAAAAATCACACACACATACATAGTTTTGGTTTCTTGAAACACGAAAACTTTTTGACTTGAGCGCTCCAAAACTGTTAGCTATTGTTTTCTTTTCTTGATTTGAGCATGTGTGTTTGATTTGACATATCAACCATTATTATTCTTATTCATTTTCCGTTGTTTATTGTTGACCTTGTATGCTTTATCAGGTCACGGCATTTCCAATGGAAGAAGAACAAGCTCATTGCCAAGATAACAAGAAAAACAGTACCGCCCCCACCACAGCTGAATCGCATTCATTGCCGCCATCTCCGGTTCCTGAAGCAAACAACGGCAGCAACTTCTGTATGTTGCCAGCATTCTCTATGACCGCTTCCAATCCTGTCGTATTGCCCGTCCCAATTGAGAGTCCAGTGGAAAACTTATCAATTGGACAAGGCAATCTCGCTACCACTAAACCCTCGGCAAATCTCATACGACCGATTCCTATCCTCCCAACTCCTCATGCTACAGGAATATCTGATCTTAACTTAAATTTGAAGTCATCAGGAGATCCGTCACCATTGTCACTGAAGCTGTCTTTGCCATCTGATCAGAGGGAACCATCATCAAGGCATTCAGCTTTTGAGGTGATGTCGAGCTTTAACAATGGAGATAACATCATCAGTGTTGCTTGACGAAGAATGATAAGTAATAAGTTGAAAAGATGGTGCATAATTAGATAATATGAGTTAGAGAAGATGAAAAAACAAGTAAATTAGGTGACTGGAAAAATTAATCTTTTCTTTGATTGTACAGACCAGAAAGGAATCGTCATCTCTTGTTGGTTTCTATGCTATTGCCTTGGGTTCCTATTCTTCTTTTGTTTTGTAGTTTGATGATATGACTGAAATAAACCCCCAAGTTCTTTGTTCATTACTAATAACTGCACGATTTGTCTTTTTTTTTTTTTTTTTTTTTTAATAATCAACAGTAAATAGGGTTAGAGGTGTACTGTGGAACAAAGTTCTTAAAATTCCTTGTCTCTTTGATTTGATACAGACCAGAAAAGGAATCGTATCATCTCTTTGTTGGTTTCATATGACATATTGCCTTGGAGTTCCTATTACTTCTTTTGTTTTTGGTAAGTTTTGATGGATATGACTGTGAAATAAAACGCGCCCAAGTTTCTATTCGTCTTCTATTCACTACTAATAACTGCAAAACGATTTGTCTTTTTTTTTTTTTTTTTTTTTTTTTTTAAGCTTTCCATTACTGCTAAAAAAAAAAAAAAAAAAAAAAGAAAGAAAGAATAAAATAAAATCAAATGGGTTTGTGGTATTGATGTCACTTATAAAAATTCTTATTTCTTCATTTTATGAATTTATGAATGGACAACAAAAATTACGCACTGAGAATGAATTTTAAGGGAGTGTGTGTTTGGAGAATGTTGCTATGAGGGTTATAGTGTAAGTTTTATTACTATTGGCCTGTGGTGCGGACCCACTGATTTGTCTAATGATTGTGTGTTTAGTCTCCATTTTTCTAAGCTTTGTTAATGTTGGACAATTGTTTGGTTATCTACTAAGAAAAGAGGTAGCGTCGTGTTAGATCTATGTTACTTCCTTTCAATTTTTTTTTCACTCTATTGTTGTGTTATTCTAAAAAAAAAAAAAAAAAAAAAAAAAGAAAAGAAGAAAAATATCAAATGGGTTTGTGGTATGCATTTATTCTTTTTCTTTTATGATTTATGAATGGACAAAAATTCACTGAGATTAATTAAGGGAGATGGTTTGGTGTTGCTGAGGTATTTATTCTATTGGCTGTGGTGCGGACCACTGATTGTCTAATGATGTGTTTAGTCATTTTTCTAGCTTTGTATGTTGACATTTTGTTATCTATAAGACAAAAGAGGTAGCGTCGCTGTTAGATCTGTATTTCCTTTCATTTTTTTTCTAATTTTTGTTTTATGCATTTATGACTAGCTTCTTTGTCTTTCTCTCGAATTTAACGGTGATCCTATATTTTAATGCAAAGTATATACTCTGCTCCGTCCAGAATTAGCAGGAACCTTTTATTTTACGAGAACCGTCCAGAATTAGCAGGCACCTTTTATTTTACAAGAATTAATAAAAATTAATAATTTGAAATGTAATTGATAAAATATGCATATTAGGAATTTAATTAAAAAAATTATTGTCATTTTTTACTCTTAATAATTCATTAAAATATTAAAAATATTTTATTCAATGAACAATTGTAAAAATTATTATGAGAAAAATAATTATTTACATATTTAAATTTAGAAACCTTGCAAACATTTCGAGACATAAAAAAAAATAATAAGTAAATAAAATGGGACAAAATAAATATATATATTCATTAATTTATTATTGATTTTTGCATCTATCAATATTAATTCATTATCTAAGATTGGTTAATATTCATTACAAATGAATAATTGATTACAAACTCAGTAAATATTCACATTTTCAATTTCCAAAGTGATTTTTAATAAAAAGTAAGAAAATTATTTTTAATTAACATTAAATTTGTGTATAATAGATATTTAACATATTAATTGAGGCTCAATATGTAAATTTTCACCTTTGTATTTTTTTAAAAAAATATTGTGGCACTCTTGACTTTAACTTAACCTATTAAACATTTCACTTATAAAATTAGACTTATTAAATACTTTGTTTAACTATTGAATACTTTAACTTATAAAATTAGACTGAATAAGCACTTATTGGATGGCTAAACTTATGTAAAAAAAATTGTTCCAAAAGCGTATTAATATTTTACGTATAAAAATCAAAAAATCTTAAAAATTGCTGATTTTATTGGAAGGAAGTGTATGATTATTATAAAAAGTGAAGTTTAAGGTGTCACGAGATTGATTTTAAAGTTTAAAATGTTATATTTTTTTATTTATTAAAGTTTAGGAACTAAATTATGTATTTTGCCGGTTAAGGTGTACTATAGTTAGTATATGCTTTCATAATATTCACAATTTCTCTATTGAAGAAATAATTAATGGCTTTGTGGGCCTCTTAATTTGATCAGAAAAAAAAAAAAGAAAAACAATAATGCAAAACAATGAATTTTTACAACGAGTTGTATTATATTTTAGCACTAAATCCAACAAGATAAATCATCACCTAATTACTCCATAATTTTTATATTTATATTCTCATAATTGAGACTTAAATTGATCAATTAATAAATTAATTATCCTAATGAGGGTTAGCAATCCAATTTTCATTATTTCATTAAAGTATACTAATTAACTAATTAATTAATTCAATATCCATATATCCCATATATCATTTCTATTAATTTGAATTTATCACCTAATTAATCTAGATATCATTATTTTAATTACTTAACCATTTAATTAAACTACTTCTAATCAACTAATTTAATACTATCACTTAATTATCAATAATCCTAAAAAAACTAAACTAACTGAAGTCATACTATATACATCAAGGCAGTCTTTTTAACAGCATAGTTGTTAACCAAAGCAAGTACATTACTCGTAAACTTCTTCACATCCGCCGCACGATCACACACCTTCGATCTCAACGGCTCGTCTACCACATCGTCAAATATGTCAATGCACGTTTCCTCATCCGTTAAGGTAGCTCATCCATATCGTCAAATCTGTCCTTGCATTTGTTTAAGCGAACCATAGATCTCTTCTACAGCATCGTCGAAGTTGGATAAGTAGTTGTGGAGTGCGGCGACTACGCGGTGGTTGGAGCTGTAGTCGGCTTGCGGGAGAGATTAGAAACGAAGGACGAATAATGAGGTAAAAGGTTAGTTTAGTCTTTTTCTTTTTTCTTTTTAAACGTCAGAGTATTTTAGTCTTTTTCAAAAGTTTTAATGGCAAAGTTTGGAGAAAATAAATAAAAAGACAAATTAATTATTTTCCCAATTAAATTTTCAGGTAAATGTTTCTCATGGACAACAACTATAAGTTCGGTCAAATGGACATAGAAAGCATAAAAATCATACAACTTCTCAAAATGCAAAATAAAAGCTTAAGCATGGATCTAACCATATATTGTATATGAACAAGTACTTCAGCATATATATAACACAAATCAACATTTAACAGCCTAAAAATATATTGGTTCTGAATCGGGGGCAAGTCCAGTCTGCTAAAATATCTCCTTCTACTTTCTTCTTCAGTCTTCTTGTTCTTCTTCTTTAAGTCCTTTGCTTTTTATAATCAAAGTGTTTTGCTCTATACAAACTTTCACAGACTTGGCTTAGAGTTCTTGTTGGCCAAAATGGGTCCGCCACTGGATTGGGAATAGTTTGCATTGGGAATCACACCTTTGAGTTGAACAAGAAGAAGGTGGAAGTAAATGCAAAGGTTTTGTCAACACTTGTTGGATGAAGATGATGGACTTCGCTTGAATCTTGTCGGGCCTTGAAAAATACCACTAAAGCTCTTGTTGGGAAGTAAATGCAAAGGTTTTGTCAACACTGTAGTAGTTGAACAAGAAGAAGGTGGAAGTAAATGCAAAGGTTTTGTCAACACTTGTTGGATGAAGATGATGGACTTCGCTTGAATCTTGTCGGGCCTTGAAAAATACCACTAAAGCTCTTGTTGGGAAGTAAATGCAAAGGTTTTGTCAACATTGTAGCAGGTTTTCATCTTTTTTTCTCATCAAAAGTTACACTTTGACCTTTATGTTCTTGCTTCACAAATTTCCTAATTTTAACTTCAGTTTACAAGTCCTCTCCTTTTGGTTTCTGATGCTTTTTCCTCGATTGTTCAATGCTGTGTATGTAATTTTTGGTTATCATTGTTTTCTTTTTCATGGTTGCTTTGATTGCACTCACGGCGGGAAGAGAGATGCGACCTATGGAGCGGCGATTCACGTCGATGGTACCAAGATCATCTCCTTCGATTTGGTGACCTGGGTTTCAGTGTTGAAGGAACAAGAGATAGAGGGAGCGTTGCCTAAAGAGAATAATAAGGGCAATTTTGTCATTTGATAAATTCCAATCACGATTTGTACACGTGGATCCCACGCGGTAGTCTTAGTGTCGTCCTATGTGTCATTTTTTTTTAATCTTAGTTAACTTTTTCTGTCCTATTTATATTTCCAGTTTGGAGGATAAAGATTTCTGATTGAAAATGTTTTTGGGATTTAAACACTTGATTGCAAGAAACACCAAAATTGAAAGAATTAGAGACCAAATTTATTATTAAGCCCAAATTATTGAAACCATTAATGCACAACAAAGCACCATAAAGATTTGGTGTTAACATGGTATATATAGACAAGACAAAAGCACTGTCTGGTCTTGATTTGGTGGTCTGTATCTTTTCATTTGCCGCTTGAAGGAGATAGAGATAAAAAGGGCTAGTTAATAATTTCAGACTCCCAGATATTGGGCATATGAGTTTACTCATTTTCAGCCTACTCAGTATATTAATTACAGTTTCATGGTTCCCAGACGTCCAAGTGGCAATTAAACTAAAATGAAGACTGCTGTTATGAAAGTGCCTCAAATTAGTAAACATGGAAACTGAAGTGCCTCAACTAAAACTCAGAATTTTACCCAATTCTCATTTTTCAGTGTAAGCCAAAACAGAACCATGAACTGATTTACGTAGTAGTGCTGCAATAATATAAATTTTTATTCCTGAAGTTCCAAAACTAATGTACTCTTTTTCACTAAAAGTCTAAAACCATTATCCTACCAATGCAAAGTGTTGTGTTATATATCAGGGAATGGTAGATTTCAGTATCTGCAAGCTTAGCAATTAAGGGCCACAAGCCATAAACACAAAGAACCGTGCATCCCAATTTTTCATTCTTGCCAATATAGTAGTAATGATTAATTCATCCAATCATCATAACAAGATCTTTATTTATTATTTTATTTCTTCCAACTAACAGAACACAAATAATGAAACTGACCTGCAGAACAGGGTTCCAATGTTTCCCATTTGGCAGTGCTTCAAGCTTTTTGTTATGTAACTACAAAGAATTTAGCAAAAAAAGAAAATGAAACTCAAAATCTAACTCCAGAAACAAAGACAATCACAAACAAAAATAAAAATCAACTATAACCACCAAGAGAATGGAAGCTTGAGGAAAGTAGCAGTAAATGTCCAAAATTCTTGGCCACATTACCAAGCTCTACATCAAACCTGTCATTTGCATGGAAGTAACCCGCTAGACCCAGACCTTGAGCACCATAATACTCCTCTATCTGTTTGCAGAAAGTAAAAAAATATTGAAATGTCCAAATACTCTATGAGCTCATAGCCGAAAGGGAATTGCTGAAGAAGTATTAGCTTAACAAACGGAAAGTAACCGAATAGCTCACATTAAACTTAATCTAATATAAGAGAAGATATTGAAATAAGAAATGGAAAAACACATTTTATACAATCATTTTGGATATAAAAGTCATAAAATTACCAATTATTCTCAATTAAGTTGTTTTGATGTCCTAAATGTAAAGATAGATGCAGAGATTGTGTTTTGGGTTGTAAACATAAACGTACCAGACAAGGGATTAGGGGTGTAAATCGGCCGGAACGGTTTGCGATCTATTCGAGCTTGGCTCAAAAAAAGTCAGGCTCAAATCGAGCCCGAGTTCGAGCTAACTCATTTGCTAAATGAGCCGAGCTCGAGCCTAATGATGTTCAGCTTGAACTTTATTGAGTCTTGTCAAGCTATTCGTCAATAGATTTTTAAATAACCAGTCAAAACGCTGAAAGTTAGTTTTATAGTGTTCAACAATATTTCGTTTGAATTAGCTTTCAAATATTAAAGTAGCGTTTTATAAAAAATTAATTTTAAATGTTTTATAAAAAATTAAAATTAAACGCTACTAAAACAACTAACAACTACCAAAATAGTTAATTTTGTCGAACAAATCCTAAATTTTAGGTCCAAATATGCTATTTGCTTTCCCATTTAAGTTTCGTTTTTTGGGTTGCTTGCTCCAATTATATGGTTAGTTTGTGATTAAGATGCCATTAATAAAAGTTCCAATTTTCATTCTTGCTTCTATTTTATCAACTCATTATGTTGGAAATTAATATATTAAAGTTTTCAGTTTAAAGAAAATGAGCAATACTTTCTAATCAATATTTAGCCATAGCCTGCTTATTATGAAAATCTTAAAATTAAATATATGAAATACCTCAATTACTATGAAAATCTTATTCTAGCAGGAACAATCAAAATTAAATAAGTTTTAGCACCATATATGAAATAAATATAGCATACTTACTTTCAACATATAATTGCAATGTGTGTATGGAAGAAATAACAAAAACAACAAAATGAATTTTAGATCTCTAATGATGATATTAATAATAAAATGTGAAAATAATAAATAAATTAAGAAAACAAATTGCATACACTTGACATATTTTTCAAAATTGAGTTTAAAACTCCAATAAAAACGAACTTGTACATTTTTTTTTTCAAATTGACCCCTCTTAAAATTAGTATTAAACCCTTCTTATCACTTTTTATTATTTATTGAGCCTGGAAAGTTTTTCCAAGACCCACCACTGCCTCCATGGCAGACAATAAGTGAAAAAAAACAACAAACAAAATGCATGGAGAATGTATACTTCAGCAACCAGTAGCAAAACGTAAATACAAATCAGTAACTTATCCAAGCAATCAAAAGATATGATCTTATACAGAAATGGCAGTTTATTCTAACCAAACATCATAACAGATAGGAGACTATTTATTGAAATACAGATACAGTTTAAAATGGCTACTTCACCGCACGTATTGGACGAGTTGGTCTGGAAGGAGAAAATTTTGATGTCTCGTGTACATGTGCATCAAACCTATTATTCTTCTCATGAAACTTTCTGATATAATCAGAAGCCTTTCCATCGATAATACTGTCCTCATGAATCACATATGAAGAGCCATTCCCTTCATCAGGCTGCATTACAAATGAAACGGGTTTCGACCTGCTCCGAACCTGTTGTGACTTTCGGCTTCCAGGAAGTTCAGGCAGCAATGGTTCTTTAGCGTCCTTGATAGAACCCGTCACAGATGGCAGGTTTTTGGTAACCACTGAAGGCCCTGTTTCTCCGAGGCTCATCTTAGCTAAAGAAAAAGAAGACAGTTTAATAATGTTTACTACCACCTTCATCGACTTCTCGCAGAGGGAATCATTGCCCCTGACTTTACCACTCATGACCGCTCTAAGAAATTTCTATGTTCAGTTTCTTCTGCTTGTACAAATGAAACAAGAAAGTCTGCAGAACTAACCAAGTGGATAGATAGATAGATGGGGATATGCTAAATGTAAGTGTTTAGCTTCTTCTCAGTTTGTTGGGAACTTTTAGTCATGGATATATAAAGGCAAACTTCCTCTAGTCTCTGGAGATTCCTTTCCCAATCCTTTAGCTAAGTTCTTTGCTTGAAGGATAATTAAATTAATAAAGGTGGGTCGAGAGAATCCATATTCCTCACTGAACTGTGCATGACAAATGTGCATCCAGTGAAATATCGAAGTTAATTCCAACACGGATTAGTATGATTATGATGCAGACAGGCCAACGAAAAAAGAATATTTCTGTGGAGAATGAATAAATGCCGATCCATTCAATATTTGTTTAAAATAGGATAGGTAATACTAGCTTTCAGATATGCTGTTGAGGCAAAGCATGCCTTGGTGAGGTTTCCAAATTCAAACTTATTCCTCAGCAGTATCAGATGTGTTGCTTGTCCCCAAGCCAAGTGAGGAACGAGATTCTATACTACTTTCCTCTTTTGTACTTTCTAAAGCTTCTCTTTACTATTCGCCTTCTCAAGGAAGGTCTTGACAGAGTCTTACCTCTGTCTCTCTCTCTCTCAATAATTTCTAAACAGCTAGCCAGAAAGTGTTTTAGTGCTCTGGATATTGGATATTCTGAGATGCTTTCAATCAATAACTGAAAACCATCTCAAGTTCTTATGCTCTCTAACTCACACAAGGAGAATAAAAGTCATCCTATAATTAGTGCAAGAATCACTTAGCATCCGTGACAAGAAACCCAAATTGTCCCGGCCCATCAAAGGTGCGAAATATTAGAGCCAAAAAGATTATATGAAATGAGAAAAACAAGAACTGCCCATAGATTGGGACTTCTCCTTACCAAACTATTCGAGCAGTAAATATAATAACTAATTGTGACTGAATGCACTAAAGGCGTTGTTTGCAATGTTAGTTCCAACACCGATCCTTCCTTGTGTTAAACTTGAAATATTCAAACATATCTCATATCTTTACTACTAGCTTAATCTGCAAATAGCTCAACAAATGTGAAAAAGAATGATTCAACAAATAGCTAAACCATCTACTGATATGAATAGAACAGCTATATATTAATAAAACTAACTCTCACCCTCCCTGACAGACACTTATTGAACCCCATATTCCCAAACTTCGTTAACAAACTTGAAGTGCACAGCAAACACACTCTCTCTCTCACTCCCCAACCCCACCCCCCCACACCCCCTCTCCCTGCCCCTGGATATACACTTACTGAACCCCATATTCCCAAACTCAGTTAACAAACTTGAAGTGCACAGCACACTAAAATGATGAAACGAAATATAAAATCAATACTATATCTCCACATCTAACATTAAGAGATACAAGTAAAATAAAGAGAAGGTTCAAGCAAAATACTAAAATTGTTGGCAGCTCAGGCAAAGTGTCACATTCACCATATTAGAAATAGATCACATATCATATCAGTACATTTATTACATACCAAAGTACCAGAACTCGATATAGATGAAATTACTTTTCTTTATTAGTTTTCATCAACTTACATTTTGGAACTCCAAAGTGCTGGACTTCATTTGGTTTTCTATTCTGTTGGTTGAAGTAGCACCATTCCACTTTGAGCTGGCATATGTCCTAGCTGGATTTTCATAATAGGTCATATGTTTTGATACATTGTTTGGACTATGTTTAGTGACAGGTGGAATTTTGAAAGTTTATCTAGGTGTACTACGCTGGAAGCTCCAAAGCTGAGTTTTCATCGCTGCCAAATCTAATGTAGAGTGTAGACAATTGGAATCTTTACTTGAGACCTTTCATATGCTGGGACCAAATACGCCATCCGGGACGCGGTGGTACTTGTGATATGTCGCTTGGGACGCATTTTATTTGGCGGTTTTCTGGATGTTAAATACCATTGGATGGGTTACTTTTTATTGGCATTGGAAGCAGCAAAATTCTTATGCTCGAACACTCTTAGTCTAAATAGACAGGAAGTATAAATTCCAGCAAAACATAATACTGGTAATATTTACTTATTTATCTTTTCCATTTCTGTAATGTCTGTCAAACCAACTCACCGATGGTGGATGTGGTTGGCAAATTAGCTGTTATAACAGAATGAATATCAGAGGTAGCACTTAAGCGAGAAAAATTATCGCTGTACAATCTTGAACTAAAGGTATAAATACATATCACTTTATAATTTATGCATTCACACTATAACATGATTCCACATTATTCTCAACAGAAGTCAATGCGTTTGCTCATTAGAAAGCTTGGCATTTCAACCCACAAAAACAGGTTTAGAAGTAATATTTTAAAATTTGCAAGTATTTTGATCCTCCAGCTGATATATCATACATAATGCTGATTTCTAATATAATTTATTGAAGATTATTATTTATATGAGTTTGTGAAATTTCTTTAATATTTGCTAAGGAATTCTGGAGACAATAGAACCATTAAACAGACAAATTCTGCTACTATGTGCTACACTCCATGTTTTGAAATTCAGACTTTTCTTCAATTGCTATAAGCTTTTGACTTGCTATAGATTTGGGAAAAAAAAATATCCACCTCCCATTTTACCAGAAAAAGTTAGAGAAACAATCAGCAAGTACCTTTAATCTTTTATTTGGGAACAATGTACGATGCATGCAAGAGATCAGCATGTATTTATTTCTCATTTTCTTCATTTTTTCTTGAGTAAAAGCATGTTTAAGAAAGATAAACTTACAGAATATTTTTTGCTGCTGGTTTGCTTCGTGATACCCTTACTTCATCCAGATGAAAGCCAAGGGTTCGGTGCAACATACGTATACCCTTGGAAATGTTCACCAGCAGTTGGTGTGGAAGCAGGTGAGTCATCAAGTGGCATTGTTGTCCAACACTTGTCAAAATTTGCTGTACAATCTTTTCCACTCACATCTGGCTTGAACTTTGGCTGCAATTCTCTTGCCTCTAATTTCTTCCAGTTGATTGAACGAAACCATTTATTATTTTTTACCTCATCACCTCCACCACGACCACTGCCTAACCTCCTTGATGGTTCCTTTTGCAGCAACTACAAAAATAAAGGAAAAGAAAAATTCTGTCTCTTCCTGTTTTGAATGACTACTAGAAATTGAAACAAAGAGATGGTAAATAAGGTGTAAAGGAATGATGAAACCACATAGAACTAATACTTACTCCTTTGAGCAAAGAGTGAGCTTCAGAGCTAAGGTACGACGGAAGCTTGACTTTCTCTTTGATTATTCTCTCCTGAAGTCTCTTTCTATCTTTGTGTGTAAATGGAGGCTGCAGGTATTTAAATATATTAAGACCATTTTCAGAACCAGTATCAAAAATCAATACCTGAGATAACACTTCTCATTTATTACAAAAAGGTAAGGAGGAGAATAACTGACAAAAGCAACTCGTTGAAGCAAATGGGAAAATGCCATTAGCTAATGTTTGTGTCAAGAGTAACCAGCACTAACCCAATGTATTACCTGCCCAGTTAGCATTTCATACAAGAGTATTCCAACACTCCACCAATCTGCGTCTTTGTTATGGCCTTTAGACAGTAAAATTTCTGGAGCCATGTACTCGGTCGTCCCACACATAGAATTGGATCTACTAGATTCATCAATTTCCTTTGCTAGCCCAAAATCAGTTAGCATAACCTACATGGCAAGTACACTTTTTAGGACCTAAATGAAAATGTTTAATGCAATGATTTTCATAGATATTGCCACAAGATGGAGTGCATGAGCATGGCCATTACATGCCCATCAGAATCCATGAGAATATTTTCAGGTTTAAGATCCCGGTGCACAATCCCGCATTTGTGAAGATGTGAAACAGCAGATACTATCTCAGCAGTATAAATCCTTGCCTGATCCTCACTAATCAAGACATACCAAAACCAAAAATTAAAAACGGTTGACTTACATCATCATAAGAAGTTCAGAAGGCCAGATAATGTACCTGAAGATCCCCTGTCGATAAAGATGAAAGAAAAGATGGCCTCCATTTATAAAATCCAGGATCAGATAAAGCTTAGTCTTGGTCTACAAAAATCAAGAATATGAAAAGGAATGATTTTATTGAAAACTAAATATCACATAGAGTTATACATAATAAAAGCAGCATTTGTAGTTCCTAATCTATCTTTAATTAGTCAAGGTGAAAGCTCATCCATTCCACAGGTCAAATAAAAAATTATAGTATGCACATGCCTAATTGGTAACTTGATCGGAAGTGGTGAGTAATGTACATTAATAGCTGTAGAAACTAAGAATATTCCAAATTCCTATGAGAAACATCAACCCTTTTACCCGTAAACAAGCAATTTGAATACAATATGATGTTTTCCCTGCTTGTTTTACAGTTGTTCAACTTCAAGATAAGCAACGGTATCATTCTATGGACAGAAGCAACTATCGCCAACAACATTAAACAATAAAAAAAGAGTAACTTTAAGCAATCCCATACCAAAATAGAAAGTTAAGCTAAAAAGTAAAGTAATTCAAGAGTTTATCAAGCTTATCAAATAGGACTCGGACTAAATGAAATTTTACAGATGTTATAACTAGAATGTTGGAAAGACCCGCCCAGAGAACTTATACAAAATGTTTTATATAATTGGAATGACTATAATGTTTGCTTTTGCTCCTTCGAAGCATTCTTCTTTTTGATAAAGAAGAATTTTCATGTGAATTTAACAATAGCAGCATTGCTTAATTAATCATGAGGCCAAGCCATTTTACATTACAAAAACTGCAAACACAAATCACCACTGAAGTTGAAGCTTAATGATAAAACTTGCAACAAGAAAGAGAAGAAACTAAAAAGGCACCTGAAAAGAGTAACAAAGCTGAACAATATAGGGATGCACAACTTTAGTAAGGATATCTCTTTCAGCCTTCATATAATCAACATGATTCTTCTTGATAATAGTATCTTTCCTCATAACTTTCATTGCATAAATCCCATCACCATCACCATCACCACAATCGCTCCCTTTCTTTCTAACTTGAAACACCTTACCAAAGGCTCCACGCCCTACAACTCTCAAGATCTCAAAATCACTTGGCCCAATCTTAGGACTACAAGAACTCACTTCCTCGCTCTTCTTTCCCTTCTTGTCATCATCTTCTTCAATGTCGTTTTCATTTCCGATTTCAAGATCTTCTTCTTGGATTTGGAAAGGAAGGGAGCAGGAAAGGGTGTAGCGAGGGGAAGGCCCCACAAAGGAATGGGACCGGTTGTGGATGACGGGTGGGTCTCCGATAAAAGCGGAGGAAGAGGTGGATGTTGAAGTTGAAGGTGAGTATGATTGATTAGGGTGTGGAGTCAGTGGGCCAAATACCTCGGAAAAGTCAAAGTCGGGGTCGGGATTTGGGGGTGTGATGGTGAGCTTTTTGAGATTGGAGGATAACACAGAGTGAAGGTTTTTCTTTTGAGAATTCGAAACCATTATCCAAGAGCTGAGTTTAAAAGAGAGCCAAGATTTTATGGATCAAAGCGGGACGAAAGAGCTCTGCTTCCATTTTAAAATAACAGAGGAAGATTTTACATATTTCATTGCCAGAGGAACGGAACAGAGCATCGAATACTTGCTGGGAACAATAATTGTAGCATTATTGAACGATATTAACTAACGCGCCCATAAGTATTCGTGACTTCACTCGCCAAAATGTTAGTTAATTCTCGACTTTCTTTTACTTTTTGCCCTTTTTTTTTCTTTTTAACTTTTTTTCCCAAAGATAGAGGACTTATTTGATTTGCCATTCACATAAGAAAATACTAAATTATTTTGGGTAAAACATATTTTTACTTTGAACAAGTAAAAGAATAATGAAGTGCGACAAAATAACATTATTGATTATTCTGAAGGCGGTGAGTGGTGAAGGTCACGACTGAGGAAGATAAGCTGACCTAACAAAAGATGAGTCATTATTTACAGGGATGAAGAAGGCATTAGCAAAGAGCCTTCCTTTATGGAATGGCATATCTGACCGAGGTTATTCTGAAGACGTTCAAGTCTCAAGCCATTAGGACAAAGAAAGCACCAAAGACCAATTACTAAAATGCAGAAATATAAAGAAACAGAAAATATTTGCACTGATTTAGATCGAGTTATATGAACTAGCAATTGAAAACTGATAAGTAAGAGAGAGAGAGTGAGAGAGTGAGAGAATGAGAGCGTGTTAAAGGAAAGAAGGCATGTGTTGTAGTTTCTCCTTTTCTTTCTTTTTTCGCTATTGCACACAAATTACATCTTTATACTGAAATTTTACCCCAAAAATTGAAGCCAGTGCGGTTCAAACCACTCAGCATCCCACATCTCGACAATAAAAATACAACAATCACCCATTCTCTCCCAACCAATAAAAGGTGAAACCAAAATGATTCTCCTGAAAAAATTGGAGAATGATGAAATAATACACAAATTAAAAATGAATGAAACAGCTAATATACTCATGTGACTCGTCGTGACTAAAGATGAATCCTAAATAAGAATGCATATTTTTCTCTGCCTTCACTATTGTACATTCACCAAATTCAACTTTAGTGGCCTCAATGCCTCTTGAACTATCTGCTGGACTGTTCGGTTTCTCCGACAAACATCAGAAAGTTCTTCAATAGGAGACATCAGGGCATTGATATCCATCCCAGATGCTGCATCTGACAATGCTTGAAAGAATCTTGCACGCTCCACTTCAGTGACTGCTGTCAACGGAATTAGCGAAACACACTCCTTGGCCCACTCCACTGCTCTTGCTCCATATGCACGAGTTAGTGATAGTAAAGCATACATTACCTGGATTTAAAAAAACCCCAAAAAAAAAAAAAAAAAAAAAAAAAAAAAAAAAAAAAAAGAAAGAAGGCATGGTTTTGTAGTTTCTCCTTTTCTTTCTCTTTCTCTCGCTATTTGCCACCACAAATTACATCTTTATTACTGAAATTTTTACCCCAAAAACAATTTCGGATGGGCCAGTCGCCTCTCAAAACCACCCTCAGCATTCCCCACATCTCGACAAATAAAACAGAGTTAACAACAATCACCATTCTCCTCCCAACCCATAAATAAGGTGCCTGCAAAACCAAAATGCATCTTCCTGAACAACTAATCTGTGGAGACGAATTGATGAAATTGTGAGATCTACACTCAGAGAATAAAACATGAAGTGAAACCAGATCTTATACCTCTACTCATTTCTGTGACGTCGTCTGTGGTAGCTAAAGACATGAATCCTCCCCTTAAATAAACGATGCATAATATATAATAATACCTCTGCCCTCTCCACTATTGATTTACATTCACCAAGAATTCATACTTTAGTGGCTCAATTGCCCTCTTCACTATCTCTGCCTGGACTGTTGCGGTATACTCTCTCTCACATCCAGAAAGTTCTTCAATAAGCCGAGACGATCATACCTCGAGGCGCATTGATAGTCCATCCCAGATGCTGCATCTGACAGATGCTTGAAAGAGATCTTCGCTCGACGCTCCACTTCTCATGTGGGACTAGACGGACTCCACGCGGAACCAAGATCTAGCCGAAACACACTCCTTGGCCCACTCCACTGCTTCTTGCTTTCCATATGCACGAGTTAGTGATAGTAAAGCATAAACATTACCTGGATTTAAAAAAGACCCCAAAAAAAAATAAAAAAAAAAAAATAAAAACATAAAAAAAAAAAAAAAAAAGAAAAAAGAGAACCTTCCTGCACTCACCCAAAATACCTTAATGCCTGTAATCTTCCAGCACGTCGATGTGTTAACAGGCACTTTGGAGCTGATCACTGGAAATTAACAGTTTCGTCAATCCAGAATCCGTTAGGGAGTGCTCCAGCTTTACTCGATGCAACCAGACTTCTAAAAAAAAAAAAAAAAAAAAAAAAAAAAAAAAAAAAAAGAAAGAAGAGAACTTCCTTCAATACCCAAACTTAATGCCTGTAATTCAGCATGTAACAGGTTGAGTGTAGGAAATACAGTTTCTAATCGAGAACTAGGGAGTGCTCCAGCTACTGATGCAACCAGAATTCTAGTAATGCTAGCACCTCGGGGAATAATAACACTATCTCTGATGGATAAATATTGTTCCCCCACGCTAGACTTTGCCAGATCAAAGATGTCAGACAAGAATGTCAGTATGGAATTGGAGGCCTCTCTGCAAAGGTTGAATTACAAAGTCAGAACATGTAAAATAAATAGATGTCAAGAAGCACAAATACTTTGAAACAAAATGTAGAAGAATCATAATTTCACTTTGAAATAAAAATATTTTTTTCACGTGATGTATAGTAAAAGAAACATTTATCTATTAACATATGAATAGCTTATGCTGTCCTGACTTTAAAAAACCTAATATTGGTGTATCTGAGTCTTGTATTTATATCTTGTGTAGCTGTTTCATACCATCCAGGGCATTTTGAACCAGTTTCCTTTCTAATTACATGTTTATTAACTAAAATTCACTATTTATAAACCGTGTTCCAACCAAGTGCTTACATACCGATACACAAAAAGGGAGAAGTGTACCTGTGCTGTACTGTGATACCAATCATAGAGCAATCAACTAACAATGGAAACACAGTAGATGGTATAAATATTTGAGGGCAATAACGGATGCATCTCGATGCCAATAAAAAACAATCATCTGCTATGTCAGGTCTGGCAGTGAAGTCCTGCAGGATAAATGTAAGGGTGAATAATGTCATGACAGGTCACAGAAATCCAAACAAGAAAAAGAAATTCATTGGTTGTACAGCTGAAACCTTGATATTGGTTAGAAGACATATTGTGTGCTTGAAGAGAGCTTCAATAAGATTGTTAAGGTAGAATGCACAAGATGGGTCAGAACCAAATATCTGCACCCCAAGAAAAATGGCAGGTCAATTTTGAGATTTGAAAATAACTAATAAATATGCTCACATTTGGGATAAAGTCATACCTTTATTACTTCACTGGAGAGATAAAGGAAGCAAGACTGATGGTGCTGTTGAAAAAGGGCTTGGATCTCTTCTAGCATTACTCCAATTGTGATCCCCATGAACCTACCTGATGTTCTCACCTAAAGAAATTCCAAATTCGTTGACATCTTGAACTAATATATTGATCACTTAAAAAGACAATCAGTGACGATATATTGCAACTTTGTGTAAAGTTGTTCATGGAATCTTTTACTCAAGGTTGCAAGAAACAAGCCTAGAGATTGGTCAACTTAAGAAGCTATTTTGGAACAAATCCTTGGGTATACTCATGCTACAAATAGTTTGAATGTTAGACTAATAAATTTGGCCTGGTTGAGAATCAGTCTTGTTTCTGATTCTTTAAAGTTCAATTCTTTAACATTGCAAAAGGCACAGTTTTGCAAACTCACTGCATATTTGCAAGCTCGACAAAGAGACTCCATTGTCCGCATGTCCCAAGCACGACTGCAGCAGGAAAAACAGATCACAAAACAGTGGAAAACTCATGATATATTTCCATTTTGCATTACTGTCATAAAACTTACAGGTCAAAAATTGCTTTTAAAAGCGGCCAGAGTCTTTGAATAGCATCTGCCACAGCTTCAGGGTGATTTACATACCTGAAAACAGTATTTAGTTGTGCCTAGCAAATATCAAACATATTAAGTTAATAACATAAATAGAAGGATGTCACGCAAACCTAAAGATGTATGCAAGCCGATCAATGTGAACTGTTATCTCACGCGCAGGTCTCTTCTCCAATAATTCAGGACCTTGATTGATGACTCCCTGGTTATTCACATTATTACCTTCCTAATATCAACAGCAACCATATAAAGGATGAATAAATCCACTAGTAAGAAACCTCACCTGTAGAGAAGTAACGACTGGCAAACATAATTTCTCCAAAGCCTGCTTAGCCTGCTCAGGAGGAAGTTCTGTAAGGACCATGCTGCAAAATAAATTTAGCACACAAATCCAAATCAACTAATCAATGCATAATCCATTTCACCATGTAAAAACTAAATTTCAAAGTAATAAAGCACAATATATACCTTAAGGCTTCCACCACATGCAAAGAATCTTCAGCAGAGATTCTAAAACTACCTTCCCCAATTATTGCCCGATGGTATATCGAGAAGAGGTCATCAAAATATCCACAAAGCTTTCTTCGACAATCTACAATCAACATAAAGCATTTCACGTGTGAGGAGATTCTGAAAGAAAAAGTCAACATACATGATAGAATTCAGACATCATGGAAGAATAAGGTGGATGGCAACTGGAGGAAAGTAAGACATCATAAATACAGTTCCAAAAGTAACAAAGACACCAACTACAGAACTGAGAACAAATAATCATATGAAGAAATGATAAGAATCGTTATACTTTAATCTCTATCTTCATGGTTTTGAAGATTCATGCACCTATGATTCTGAACAATCTAGGCTGTTGATTTTGTTCTGTTTCTATCAGTTTCTTCTTTCCATAGAACCACAGCTTCAATGCTGTTAAATTCCAATCAGATTGAGTTTAGAGCTTCTTTTCAAAATTGCATTTTGACCTTTTTTCATTACTTTTTAAAAAATTTTAACTTTTGATAAACCAAGGTACAGGAAAAGCTAAAAGATCTAGCTTCTCTTGGACCTATGTTAGCTAGACTCTTACACTTACACTGACCCACTATAGTGCTTTTTGATCTATTTCAACCACGAGATAATACAGACCACATCAACAACAAAAACTATGCCTAGGTCCCAAACTAGTTGGGTCGGCTATATGAATCCATTGTTTCCAATATCCGCTCTGACCAAATTAATATCAATGCAAAGCAAAATAATAAAATTAAAAGATAAGAGCTTTGCTAAATAAAACTTTACGCATCAGTATGTTAAAAAAATTTGGTAACTGGATGTTAGTAAATTCCAAGAAATTCTATTTCTAATGCTGCCAAGACAAATCAAGAAAGTAGGAATGATTATTCAACCAAGAAATTATGTACCATCACAGATGTGTCTGAATGCCACAGCTGCAGCAGCTGCAGAATCTTCTGATGTCCCCATGCCTTGCATGAGAATTTTCATGACTGAGGATAATAATGGTAATCCATCCGATGCAGCATCAAGCCATTTTGAATATGCTCCAATTGTTAAGCACACTAGAAATTTTGTCATGAAATATCAAGTTCAGTTTTCAAATCAAGATGCCCCTCACTTACTGAGGCGGTGGGACAGGGCTTAGGGACTCGAAATACATGAACTGTCCTGAGCAGAGAGAATAGTTCACAATCTCTGCTTCATGGTGACATTCATGTTCCCTTCTCTGGAAAGTGAAGTAAAAGCTTGAAGGAAATATGTTATAGAAGATTTATAACCTGTCTGAAGCAGCTGGGGCTGATGCGGAAGTTCTAGCAGCAAAGACATAATCTGCGAAACCAACAAAATCTTATATGTGTAAGAGTTATATACGGTAAAACCCTTGAGACAGCATGACAACTGACAGGTACTATTGGCATTCAAGGAAAACATTGCAAATGAACTCCATAAAAATTGTTTAAGGCAGCAAATGATAAACCACATCTCTAATACAGGAACAACTTCTATATGACAACCTGGGCATATAATCAAAAATAGCAAAGGGAGAGGAACTTGAGAAAGATTTGTACCTTCGGCATTACTTCAGCCTCAACGATTGAAACATAGCTTGATACAGCCCTGATGCAAAATAAAGCGGCTTCTGCTGGACGCCATTCACTATGCCCATTCCCCCAGCAAGCTTGAGCCTTGGATGGCATAAAACAACTTCCCATAATAACAAAAAAACAAGCAACAACTAGACAACAGAAATATTTTCTAAATGAGATATCAACTCGGATCATATTGTTAAAAAGTATATTTCACACAGAGCACCTCCAAAAAACATGGTAGCCTGTGGACAACAACAAAAGGATCAAGATATCTATGGATGGGGCTCTAAATTGGTAAGCGCTTTAAAAATGAGTATCATCATTGATACAACCAGATTTTGCATGCTAAAGTGGTTTTTAGGATGATATGATAGCAAGATATCCTTTTGCGCTTTGTTTTTGCTTAAACTAAAGGTATTTCGCTATCCAACAATAATTTGACATGGCAGAATGAAGTATAGTCTTCTCCCAATCTTATGCAGTCTCCAATAGATCAAATAATTAAAAATCTGAACCTTCACTTTCAGAAAGAGAGCACTTGGCTATGGAAGCCATTAGTAAGGTCGATGATTGTTATACGAGAACTCTTGCATTAGCAGCTATCCAAATGAAGATTACCACATGGTTCTAGAGCACATTAAACCAATTTTTTGAACAAAAAATTGAAACTTAAAACTTACTGCCCAGATAATGCCAGAACCACAACAAAGGCAAGTTATAATAGAAATGTCGCACACCCTGTAATACGCACCTCAGCAAGTTTCACGTAAAGAATTTTCAGTGTCGCATCACCCCCTAAAACTGATGCTGCATCAATTAACACGTCCGCAACAGCTAGTAACATCAAAGATTTGATTAGTGTTGAAGAAGAGCTAGATATGGTGTCTCATCCAAGTGAAATTATGAAAAGATAAAAATGGGTAGAAAACTATCTTAGCAACCGATAGTAATCAATGTGATTGACCAGTCACCAACTAAATGCCTCGGCAACACAAGAAAGCATGAAAAAATACCAGACCCAAAGATTAATGCATAAGAAGAATAAACTGAACCACAAAACAATTTGTTTCAACTCAATTGGCTGGTCTAACTCACCATATCTGGTGTGTTTAAAATCCTTGAGGTCTTCAATTGAAAGGTTTTGATAATCTTGGGGATATTGAACTCGAAAGCTAACCTGTTATGAAAGATCATTGCTCTTCAAATTTCTTTACAGGAGAAACGTGGCAAAAGAAGGAAGAAAAATGAACCACTATCCAAAGTTGTTTCATTATTGATAATAGCAAATTTGAGTTTCTGCTAACAAAATCTAGCCTCTACCATATCTAATTGGGGTTAGCCACATTATTGCTTCTCTCCATTCTCCTTGATTGAGGGCAAATTTGAAATTTTGCTTCCAAAAGAAACTCACCAGGGATACAAGTGACTCATAGGCTGGCCGGAAAACTAGCAGCCTCCTACTTCTCTCAGCTTCAATGGACACTTCATCACCGAATGACATATACGAATCCCTGTTAGATTACAATTATCATGTTCAAACTTTCTTCACAAAATGACAAGCACATCCAGCAAAGCTCCAGATGGATTCACCTCTTAGTCAAGACAACTTGAAGACTGTGCCAAAAATTAAATGTCATGGAAGCAATGTCGTATTCTGGATGTGAAGCAACTTCCAGTAATGCATTCACTATCATCATTGATTCATCAGAACCTGGATGGGGGAAGCCAATAACAATATTCAAATGGGAAAGAGGTCATGGTAGAAAAATTGGAGCATTATTCAAGGAATCAGAAGCACTAGGCACATAAGAAGAGGAGGATTAGGGTAGCGACAAACTCTGAGAAATAGTGTCAATAAATTTTAAGAACATATACCAGTTGCAATCAGCTCAACATATGAATCACCCATGTCAGCAAATAATCGAGCAATGGCCTTCACATCCTCTTCATCCTAAAGGAAAATCAAAAGTAAATAGTAAGTTTAAATTTGCAAAGGTGTATCACAATAAATTTATACTATGTACAAGCATATATTTGAAAAGTTCTAGCAATGAAACACTTGAAGCATACTCTCAAAAAGAACTCTAAGGACATAACGATAATATATACTTAAAAGCGAAAACCTACATAGAGAGGCACAATTAAACATGCAAACTAGTTTTCCATAATTTCGGTCCCACATACAAAAGCTAATGAATTGAAATAGACCAGGTCACCACTTTAACAGGAGAACATTGTATTAACGACGCTTTACCATTTACATAATCTCGCCATAATCACTCAACAAAATGCTGGCCCAAAAAAGCCAAGCATTTAAGAACTGTAAATGCTGTACCTTTGAAGGATCCCGAAGTTGTTCCTTCAGACTCATAACTTGAGGCACAAGTACTTGAATTAAAGGCATCTGAACCGAAATACCACCGGAGTTTCCTGATGTTGTATAGTGTATCAATTCCGAAATAACTGCAAAGAGCAAGTAAGTACTTTACCAATTATGCGAGCTAAGCCCATAACTTGAAGCAAAATTTAATTCAGCCATTCACATCTGTTCTAAGATATTCTCCACAAAAAGATGAAAACAAATAAAATAAGCATAACGAAGAAAAGAATAAAGATAATAACAGCAAGTGGAAGATTATCATCCCTCTTTAAGAGGCAGAGGATGGCAGCTTTGGCAGATTTAACACGTTCAAAAAGGCAAAAGGTGCAATTCTCAAACAGCATACATGCTATGGTGAAGTACATCGAACTGGTTGCATTTTAGCTGATTTAAAAGAAAAGACACAAACAAATGCAATCGATTTGCTGCAAGAGGGAATATGAAAAGGAAAAGGGGATAGATAGGAGTTATCCCCTAGTTACTAACGTTGGAAAGAAAAGGACAAAAGGAATTTGTTATACCAAAACCCAATTTCTCTTTTCCTTCAAAAACAACGGAATAATTTTTCTCTCTTCTTTATGTGTAACGAAACCAAAAACTTCAATATGACTAGTTTCCACCACAAACATCCAGTAAACCTAACATGTACATATTCTAAAATATCCCTTAGCCAATGATGGAATAATTTGACAGATCTTATTACTTCAACAAAGCTGCCAAAACCCCTTTTTTGAACTCCTAGTGTCATTTCTCAGTTAAAACAAACCCAACCATAATTTGATCCGTTGTGCTAGAAAACAGAATGCAGATTAATTGTTGTTGCCCACTCATGCCAACTCAAGCTTGATGTCTCCTTTGAGGTCTAAATATTGAATTCTAAAACTACAGGTCCATAATTGTTCATAATGCAACACTTAATCTTGGGATCTCCATAGAGACAATTGATTTTTCAATTTCACTCCTTTGTCTACTATACCAGTAATCTTTACTCTGTTGGTAAACTAGAATTTATATATTGAATCAATTAATTGTTAAATCATTCCACATATTTGATTTACATTGTCTTGCAAAGGGAACATCCTTAGAATTCATATGTTCACACAAAGTTTCCCTTCAGTGACCTTGTGCTGACCATCAGTAGAGGGCAGAAAATACAAGCTGAACCAAGAACATTGCAGATGTTCTTGTGATGCAAGATTAAGCTTTCATAGAATTCAGAAAAAATTAGAAAATAAGCAAAATAGAACACTAAAGAAAAGATTAAAAGGTCAAAAACTTTCAAACAACTTAATTTGTTTCAACTGCAATATACCATTTACAGCCGCCTCTGAAAGTAGCTCAGAATTCAAGCTTGAGAGAGCTGTAAGCACTAATGGATGAGAAGCAAGCACAGAACCAGGTATCCTGAAAACAACAGAAGTTGTATAATTACCACAGAATTTCTATTGAATCCTTTATTTCATGTCTCGATGAAACTTCAGAAAATATCAAGCAAACTGAAGCTTAGCTAAGCAATTAGCTGCTGCATACTGTAGTTTCAACTAAACCATGAGTTTTCACAGTCTAGAAATTAACGCAAACATAAATAAGCAAACAAAACCTTTCCTGAAAGAGAGGGGGTGAGGGGAGATATGAACAGCACTGGAGCTGGCCAAAATATGCAAGACATTCAAACTGTAGCTACTTCCACGCTTAAAAACTGAAAGCAACCAGCCTACTAGGAACAAGATTTTATTGGAGAACTAGCAAAACACCTCAAATCTTTTTTCTTCTTAAGGACAAGATTAATTGCTATATGATAATTTACGATGTAGAAAACCTACACTATCAAAAATCCAGATAATTAATTGCTATATCTGAATATTGGATGAATTTTCTGATATTATACTCTCAGCCAGATGTTATTTAATCAGGTACCACCAACAAAATTTCACCATACAATGTCCAATAATGTCCACCTAAAAATTTTTTGCAAAACACTTCTCTGCCAATAATATAAAGGGGAAAAAACTTGTACCCGTGCTTCAGTCGCAGCCAAGAAGCAAATGCCTCAAGAACCTGAGAGAAGAAACTTCACACATTTAAACTAAGCACACATATTAAATGTCAGAAGCTCAACTTAAAAAGTATATAGTTCCTACAAAAAACATCAAAATAGATCAAGTCATGGAGAAGCCACCATCTATCCTACGTCATTGTATAAGCCAACCTTCATGAAAAATCAATAAGATGACTCTTGGTGGAGCATTTAGAAGCACCAACGAAGTTAGATATCAGGAATCCAGACTTTCCTTTCCAAATTTTGAACAGTGAAGAGCATTACAAGTAAAAAGAACAAGTTTCAGTTTCAAACACTATTATAACAAGTTCAATCCACAATTATGAGAGACTATTCACCAGTTTCAATTTTTCTGTCAACACCACTGGATTACCATTTTGACAACAATCATCCCAAGAACAAATGGCCGGAAGTGATAAGTGATGCAATTGAAGCCAAGTCTATACAGCCCTCAATATGCCCAAAAAATTATTTAACTTGCTTTCACATCAACATACAATATCATCACATAAGTTTTGGCAAGCTTCCACATTCAAAACAGCACAGAATCTGAATAATGAAATATTGCATAATATAAATTGCTGCTAGCTAGAAGTACAGAACCAAAGTATAGAAAAGTACCCACCTGCTCCTTAAGTTCACTAATCTTCAAGCAAGCTGTCAAAATATTAAGAGCAACCTCAATTTGAGAAGTCAGCTCTTTTTCAAATTGGCGGCGTCTTTCAGGACGAGCAGCTATCTTATAGTTGAATACTTCCTGACATGAAAATAAAAACAATTATAAGACCCTTGAGCAATACAAATAAACTGCCAACCAAAACCTATTTTCTTATAAGTGGGCTTAGAGAACATACGGGCATGCACACATGAGAAAATTTTTGCTTTAGTACCACCTTCTATTTTTCAGTTAATGCCATTCTTCATTCCCCTTATTTGAACCTTTCTAGTAGTAATCAACATTCTCTCTATCATTTATTTAATGATCAATGCAAGATCACAAAGATAATAATATGCGATTTTAGTTGATCTAAGCTATTAAGCAGACTCAAGACCTTTGTGATTAGGAAATTTAGCAAGTACAATTCTTTATGCACCCCATAGCATGATTTAGTTTAGACATGGATGAAATTTCCAAAATTCTATTCACCAATATATGAATCTAAATCACAATTGAAGAACAAAATACATTAGAAAAGGCACACTCGTAGCTTATATACCTCTGGCAAAACTGTAAGCAGCTCCAAGAATCCAGGTATATATTCTGGATGAGAATTCATCTCATCCCTAAGCCAATTTACAATACCACCATCTCCCCAATCCTCTGCAGGAACTTGTACAGCCAGGGCAGCAACGGCAATGCTAATCTACATGCCAAGCAAGCAAATTATGTCATCTTGGGATCAAGAAGTTGCACTACAATTGTGCACTTGTAACATGAGCATACCTGAGTCCTGACTTTAGGGGGGCCCCTATGAAATTTTTTCAGTAACGTCTGCAATCAGAATCCATAAATAACATGAGTAAACAGTTAAACAGTAGTTTTATGTGCACGTGCATCATGCACAGGCACATACAAGATAATAGAACCATTTCAAATGGACCCATATAAGTACATAGCTAATAAGACAATGGAGTTAAAACTCATCTTTCATAAATATAGAAAAATAACCAGCAGTCTAAATCTCTCTCTAGTGTCTATGTACATTCTGTTGCAGTAATAGGCAATCAGCAGATTACACCAGAAAGATACACATTTCCAATCACAAAATTCAGCAACAATATCAATGCCAACCCAAAAAATAAAATAAAATAAAATAAAATAATGCATTCATTTCCAGCATGTAAAGAAACCAGCCTTCCGAAGATGATCCACAGGAATCACAATCACTTGCTCCCCCTTGAAAAATGCAGCTTTTAAACACGTAATAGATAACATCATGAAAATTCATTCAGTTCATAGCTAACGTGGCCCTTTTTGGTATTATGTAAATTACGCAAAGATACAGAGCATCTCTTACTAGAAGAATCAATATCAAAAGATCAATGCCTCTAATAAATATTCTTCTTTTCAAGTGCAAACACAATTTTGAATTTCAAGTAACATTGTGGTAAAATAATGACTTAATATGCCAAAGAAAAAGTGCATAATACCTTTTAATCAAATCTAATCATCATAAATTTATATGCTACTTAAAACAGATGAACCGAAACATCATCATCTTCCTACTAGGACAACCAGCATTAATACTAAGGGATTGCTGCCCAGTTCAAATAGCTCATGAATTATAAGGAATGAATTTTATCTGCATAAGGTGATGTAAGTTATAATCCATGAGAACATCAATCTGAGCTTCTTCAATTATTAGAAGATGAATGTTGCCACTCACTGTTAAGGAACTCCGTAATGGTCTAAAGGCTTCAGAAGGCAGTTCCTCAATGTCCCTTTGTACCTAACAAAAAAAAAATGCAAAAAAAGTTCTCAAGCTTCAATCATTGAATATAAAATGAGACAGAAATAGAGTGAGAATCCATAAGATGTTAAAATAAGCAATGCATTAAAAATAGAAAGATTAAAATTGTATAAATAACATGCATCAATTGAATGGAGACAAAAGTTACCTTGCTTCTAAGGGTTTGAGAACAAAAGATTAAGGTTTCCATATTGCTCGTAGGATCATGAAGCAAATTATCGGCAACCTACGAAAGCACAGTATATTAATAAACATATAGCGAAGCAAATAAAAAAAAAATGAACTCTCTTTTCTGGTCATGGGATGGGACCAAAAGGGGAGTGAATAAAGTACATGTCCAATCAGAAATTTAGGATATTGTAACATGCAAAAGTTTCCATATTCAAATAAAAATTACTAATAGACTAATGACTGGGCATAAACTACTAGGAAATTCCCTAGAGGAAAAATAAAATGTAATACTGCCATTAACAAAACCATTCCTTAGGCCAAAACCTGCAGCCCATGTTGGTGGGCAAAGAGATCAATTTTTGAAGCCCATATTCAGAGTATATTAACACTTTCAGCTCAAATAAAAATGCCTACATATCCTAGTTCTAGGCAGTAGATATTATTTTTTGATTATTTTCTGTCTTAGCACCAGAATACAACAATTTTGATTTCCCTGGAAAATTAAAGAAGAATAACAGTCGTATTAAAAATTGAAAACTACTTTTAGTACAATGGTACCTCTATAACACTCAAATTTCAAAATAAACTACACAGCTCAACTTACCAACCTCTCAAAAACACAAAAAAAAAAAAAAAAAATTAATTAAAACTACACAGCTAACTTACCAACCTCTCAAAAACACAAAAAAAAAAAAAAAAGGAAACTTTAAAAAAAAAAAAAAAAAAAGGAACTTTATAAACATAAATATAATAAAATTCCAGTTAAATTCAAAGCTAATACTCTCAACTTCCTCACCACAATTAAAATCAAACGAGCAGTACATCAAGCTCAACCCGAAAATTTAAAATAAAATATCCAACTCTTCTCAGCGAAAATACAAATCTGTGAACTCCGTAACTATTACACTAATCGAACAAAAAAGCGTTCAAAACTTGAGTAGCGGTACAGTACCTGCCACGCATCAATAGAGCGTTGAATGCCTTGTAGATATTCATCTGCTTTGGAGCGAACCTCATCTTGCGGGTGATGATAAAGAGCATTTAGGGCTTGTTTCACTGAATTTTGATGATCCATAGCTCCGATTCAAATCCTAAATAAACCGCCCACACCAATCGATAGATAGAAATAATACAGAGAAGGAGAGAGAGAGAGATATGGATGTATTTGTTAATCTGTAATTTGTTTTTTAGTTTTTTTATATTTTGTTTTCTCAGGTGAAAGGGGTTTTTTTGATAATGGGGTTTTTGGCGCCCCCTTGCAGTTTGCAGTGAAGACGGAGTTCGGGAGATTTTAGATCAGAGAGATTTGGAAAGCGAACAGAAAATTTTGGACCGTCTGATTTATTTATTACTAATCTGTGGATCTTTTTTCTTTCCAACTTGTGCAATATTCTACTTAACATAATCATGGAGTAATTAAGATAATAATTATTTACTTTAAAATGAAAAAATATTTACTAACGAGATGTGGTTCGGTTGGTCTTCTTATCTCTTCTAAAAGATATAAAAAGAGCGAGGTCTTGAATTTGAGTCATCTCCACCACAAAAAGTTATCATCAATTTGGTGAATATTATTCAAAGTGAACGGTTGCTTCAACTGTGTAGCTCATAAAATTATTTTGGTCCATTGGGCTTCCCGTGAACAAAAAATAATTAATTCCTCTAATTGTTTAACCTAACTCTTTAAAATTTAGATAAATTTTGATCAATGGGATTAAGTTAAATATTAATTTATCAAATTTTTTATTTTGTTGAAAAAATATATGACTATCATTCATGAAATTATTTTTTTTAAAGAACTTAAGTACGGTTTTAGGAGAGAAATCGCACTTCAAATATGCAATTTTATCAAATTTTTACTCAATCTCTTTTCCACTTTAGTAGCAATAATAGTTATTTTACTTTATTTCACTTTAAGTGTTCATTTAAGATTTTATAACCATGTTAATTACTTCTTTCGTCCCAAAAAAATAAGTTATCTTTTTTTTTTTTGTTTGTTCTAAAATATAATTTATTTTTCTTTTTTTTTATTATAGTCAATCCTTAAATTGTTTATTATACCTCATTAAATTTTATCTTATTTTCAACAACCCTCATTAATTTTTTCTTATTATTCTAATATAATAATTATTCATTTATTATTTAAAATTGACATAATAAGAAAGTCATATGAATAAAATTGTCGTTTAATCATAATAATTGTTATTTTCTTAATTTGTTGAACATATAAAATGGATTATTCTTTTGGGACGATGGAGTATTTTTTTTTTCTAATTTTACCAATATTTATTAGATGTCATTTATTTTTTATATTTATTAGAAAATCAATAAATTCTAATCATTTTTTTAATCTCAGTAAAAAGAGCAAATATTGCTATTAAAATGCAAGGAATAAAGAATTTTTTAATGATTTAATTTAAACAATTTATTTTATTTAAATAACTTTAATCCATGAATTATATTTTTCAAACCAAACGATAGAAACATTAAAGTCTCATTGAGTCTATCTCACATCCTATAACTCTATATTTTCTCTTAAATAATTTTTTATCTTTTCATAATTTAAACATGCCATATTATGCTATGTATAAAATCAAAAAATATATAATATCTATCTATCTATATCTATACTATATATAAAATTGAGAACGAGGGGAATAATAGAACTATCTATAATACCCTTAATGAATTTTTAAATGTTCTAAAATAAACTTATTAGTGACCAATTAAATTTTATTTTGAATATTATGCCTAATAGATAATTAATGTTATGATAATACCATTAATGAAACTTAAAATGTTCTAAAATAATATTATTAATGACCAATTAAATTTTATTTTAAATATTATGCTTAATATATAATTAATGTTAACTATATACCAATTAAATTTTATTTTAAATATTATGCTTAATAGATAATTAATGTTAACTATATTAATAAATATATTTTATTTTAATGTAACTATATTAATAAATATATTTTATTTTTAATTTATTTTAATGTTATATTATTAAGGCTATACATGAAAATTAAAAATTTCATTTTATTTACTATATATTTTTTAGTTTATTCGATCTTTGGATTTAAATTAAAGTTTGGAGCTAAATACATATTACATATTTCATTTATTATTATAATTATTTTTCTCTTTTAAATTATTTTTCTCTCTTTAACTTAATAGATATAAAATAAATTTATAATCTATCTATATCTATACTATATATAAATGTGGGAATAGAGGGAGGAATAATGAGATTTCCTATACCACACTTAATTAAATTTAAAATGTTTTAAAATACTCCTTAATAATAGCCGATTAAAAAAATTACAGTGTATTAGTTGATTGGATATAATTTATAAAAATTATTTTTTAAGCCAATAATGGTCTGATTGTCTTCTCACCTACGTGAGGAGTAAGAGGTCTTGAATTCGAGTCCTCTCGACCATAAGTGTTTTCATCAATTTAATTATTGTGCAACTCACAGTGTTATTTCGGCCAATCAAATCTCCTAATAAATCAAAAGCAATTAATTTGTAAATAAATACATATAAATAATTAAAAATTTTAAAATTATAAGTTTTATTTTTACTAAATTTATTTTTAGTGAATATATGATAATGAGATAATTTGAAAAATTTTTATTATTAATTTTATTTATTGAATATTTAATTCTTTTAGAAAATATATAAAAAAGAAAAATATATATTTTTTCTTTATGTCTTGTATTGTATGATTGGCATAATTTAAAAAAATAAAATAAAATTTCAAATAGAATATATATAATATTTTATTAAGGAAAGAGAGATAAAAAAGAAGAAAAAAGTATATTATTTTTATTTATGTTTTTGTTACTTATGGTAATGTAAATATTTGAATTGGAATATATTTTAAAAGCTAAAAATTTCAAATATTTAATTTATATAATTAAAAACATGCAATGGTAAAACATGTTTAAAAATTTTTAATTGTTAAAAAAAAATTTAAATTTTTAATTTTAAAAAAAAATATTTTATTGATATATTTATATATCTATGTACATTGAAATGTTTTTTTTTTTATTAGGTGAGTTACCAATTTAATTGTTGTATATCCTGCTGTATTATTTCGGCCCATCAGACCTCCTAATGAATTGCAAAAAAAATAAAAATAAAAATAAATATATATATATATAAGCATTTCAAAATTTTAAGTTTTATATTTAGTACATTTATTTTTAATGAATACATGTGATAATGAGACATTTGAAATTTTTTTTATATTTTATTTATTAAATATTTAATTTTAAGATAAATAATTGAACTTTTAATTTAAAAAAACATAATATTTTATTGATATATTAATATATTTATATATATTGAGAAATGTTTTTTTTTTGTTAGGTTAGTTTTGAAAGAGTTTTATTATTAATAATAATTTTTTATTTTTTTCATTACTTAATAAATTGTAACTACTATCATTTTAATTTATTAAAAGATTTATATCTCCATTACAATAAATAGATGGTCTATTGATGATTAAGCATTTTTAATTTTCTTGATATTTTTTCTCTTATATCTTAAATATGTTTGAATTAAAAGAAAATAGTGTCTAGGGAACTAAAAAAAAAAAAAAACTAGAATTATATATTTCTGTTTGAGGTTTCTAGAATTTGTATGTATGTGCATATATTACTTTTTCCGATACACTGGGTAAGTAATACTGCCACTGTACTCAAAGTGATTTTCATTATCAATTCAGATTATCTTCTCATTTATTTTCTTTTTACCTAGCATGAAAAATAATTGCTTATTATTCTTCATTATAGTTGTATATAAATATTGATTTAAGGTTGAGGATAGGAGGTTGAAAATTGAGTGATGATTTTTTTTTTTTTTAGCACCTATTAGGGTTTTAAAAATCTGCATTTATAAATTATGGACTAAATGATTAGGCTTAAGGATTGAATTGAACTTTATTCTAAGATCACTTTATTATTTAAAAATAGAATTAGTTACATAATGAGTAACATTGCAAATAGTTTATACGACAAAGTACAATTCAAATTAATCACTTGCATTTATTTTAATCTAAATAAAATTTATAATTTAATATTATATAAATTAAAAATGAATATATAATGAGCATAGTCAACTTGCAATGCACATTATACAAAAGACTAGTACTATATATAAAAGTGGGAATGAGGGAGGAATAATGAGATTTTTCATATTATCCTTATAAAATTTAAGATACTCTAAAATAACCTTAGTCATAGTGAAAAATTTTAACATAAAAAAAAAATAATATCTCTATAATTTGATTGGATATTTTTTTAATAGTTAAATATATATAGATAATGAAGCGTTTGAAATTTAAAACTTTACTATTATTATATTGTTATGTCTAATTATATTATATTTCATTATGTCTAATTATATTATATTTCATTATATTATTATATAAATTATTAATAATAATTTAATAATTTTAATAATTCATTTTATTATTATTTATTATTTTGTTTTTATTTACGATTATTGTAATTTATTTCGACATTATTAGTTTAAATGAAAATGTGTAACTGTAAGCCATTTATTTATTTTTTTTTTTGAATTTATTCTCAATATATATATATGGATGGTTAAAATTTTGATTTAAAAAGAGTATGGTTAAATTTCTTTAATTACAAATTGCACTCTAATTTAGCTGGCCAAAAAATAAGATAAAAAAATATTATTTTTAAATATCTTAAATTTGATTAATTACGTTGATATCTTATTTAATTCAAATTTTAATCTTTTTATTTAGGAATATAATTTTGTTAATAAATTTTTTAAATGATTTTATGATTTCGATTGTTAAGAAAAAAAAAATAAAAATTATTATTATTTATAAAATTTTATAAATATTTTAATTTAACTTTATTATTTATAAATATTTAATTTAATTTATTAGAATAATATTTTATTCTATAATTAAAGTATATGTATTTATTAAAAGAAATTATAAAGAAAGTTATAAAACGTAAAATTAAAGATATATAATGATTTTTATAAATCAATTTGGTAATTAAAAAAATAAAAATAACTACTTAAATAAAAAAATGAAATCAATTAGCGTATAATAAAAATTATATGAAACAGTATATTGAAGATAATATAGATAACATATTTCATATTTAAATTGCTATTTTAAAGAGAGAAATAAATATATTAATTTTTTTCAATAAGATATTACAATGCAAGACATATAATTAAAAAATATTTTACTTTATATATATAAACCACTGTATTTAGTATAATTTAAATAAAAATTTATATTTTAATTACATAATAAGAA